CTAAGAATTTTAACTGAATAAAATGTCAATCTGTTGAATTTAGAATTATTTCTCGATTTTGTCACTATTATGTTTCAACAAAAAGAAAAGATTACAGATTAAATATTAAATTATAGCATCAGGTGCACGATGAAATAGATTTGAAATTCGTCAGAATCTAATGGAATTATAAATAATAAGTCAATTCGAGCTGGATCATTCTATATTAGAATTAAGATAATATACATTAGAAGATTTATACGATTATGATGACAAACATATAAGTGTTATACTAGATGAACATCAGTTTAAATTAGCAGTCAAACTTTCTATCGGAATATTAGAAAAGACAGAAGATGTTAGTGGATCATAATCAGATCTACCAACAGGCTACTTTTTTTCGGTCTGCTCTTGTCCTACTCACATTCTCTGGAGGTCAGACTATAATTGTGCAAGTAAGAATACTAGTTAATACAATTGTTGGAGTACAGCTACATGTTTGATAAATAGAAGTTTCGTCTGTCACAAATACAATGGTGCATCACCAGTAGACAAAACAATCCTCAGAAGATGTACAATTATGACCAAAATAAATCGTAATAACAATCTTCATCACGAAGAGTCCGAAGACGTACACGATTGGTTCTTTTTGAATTTCTCTCATCAACGTACAAATTTCAATACGACATGGTTCGATGTAATCGAGAGTATTATATTGTTTAAGTGGATTATATTTTGGTACACAATAATTTAGCAGTAACTACTATATATTTTGCTCGTTTCACAATGAATATCATTGTTGTAATACTGGATGTGACGGACATGCTTTTCATATATGTTTGGGTATCAATTATTATTCTGATAATAAATCTTTTTTTGTCTAATACTTTCGAAATATTGATTGTTTTGGATAAGCATAAGGAAAAATTCAAAGAAATTCTTAGAGACACAAATTTTCCATAAAGTTTCGTGCACATTAATAGTTCTTTTCAGTTCATTAAAAATATCGATGAACTTTTTTATAGGAAATCATTGCATGATTTTCAATTCTGTACTAATTTGAATTTTACGAATGATAAGTCATTGGATTTAGAAAACGTAATGTTACTTTCAAATATTTCTATCAAAATGTTAAGTATTTATTGTAACTTATATATGCAGATGTAAACAAATCAATATCCTATTAGATTTAGTATGTAATCATATGAACAATTCAGAGTATTGATTCTCAGTTCGATTTTAGAAGGAATAATTATTGTGATAAGAATTAAAAGAATTTCTAAAATTCGATTGCATCTTTTTATTTTTCTGTCAAAGAAAACAACTTTATAAAATGTCTTTATGTATTTACCATTCGATAAAATTAAATGTGGATCATAGATATGAATGATATGATCGAGATAATAATTGTTGTTATCATGGATCTATAATAATAATGATAATTTAGTAAAGAAAATCTTGTTATTCGACTAACCCGAGTATTGATGAACTTGCTAAACATTGTGAATAAAAATGAAATATAATGTTAGAAAATAAGACATTTCATAATTACCTGCTGATTCCAATGAACAAGGTCGATTGTCAATTAATTCAAACATTTCAACTCTGTTATTTTCCATATCCATGACATAAAGATTTCCTTTCATATCAAATGCCAAATCAACTGGTTTATTTAATTGATTTGTTGCATTACCGGCACCTTTCATTAAAACAAAAAGGTACAACATTAGTGAATTGTTTTTGTGGATATAACTAATGTAAAATAAAATAAAATAAAAAACATACCTCTGTCACCAACTATTGTATCGCCTTCGGATGCAAATGGTTTCCATCGTTGCACTCGATTATTCGATGTGTCAATAACATAAACAACATTAGTTTCATCATCAACAATAACATCATTTGGATAATCTAAAGTTTCAGGATCGTGCCCTTCAGTCCCTTGATTCGATCCAGCTACTGTAGTTCCTTCACGTGAAGCTGTTGTCCAATTTTGAATTCGACTATTCCACATATCAGCTACATAAATGATACTTCCATCTCTATTAACATAAATTCCTTGAGGATGATTAAGTAGATCACTTGTTGACCCATTAGTATCTGTCTTTCCAGCGACAACAGTTGTCATATTTGTTCGAGGTGACCATTGAACAACACGATGTCTATTTGATTCTGACATATAAACATTTTTCTCTTTGTCGACTGATACACCGGAACATAACTGACATTCACCACCGACTTGAACACCTTGTGTTGCTCCATTCATCCATTTTTCAACACGATTCAAAAATCGAAGTGAAACATAAACAGTTGGTCCGCTAATATCATCATCAACATAGACTTTCATTGGATTTTTTATACCAGATGCTACTGTAATACCTATCCTTGATGGATCAGCTAGTAAAAATTTTTGAACACGATCATTAGAAAAATCAGCAACATATAATTCATTTCTTTCTTTATGAATAAAAATCCCTTTTGCTGAATCAATTTGAAAACTAGAATTACCAGCTTCGCCAGTTCCAGCTATTGTTACACCTGTTGTATTCCATTTTGCACAAGGACTAACCGTACTTGACACGACAGATAAACAAAAACACAAGATGAGCACTGGAATAAAAATAAATATGAATTTTTTCGTTATACACATTTTGTCTAACTTACGAATATGCATCATTGTCATTTATGTAGAATATGAAAATTGCAGAGTAATGCATACACAACAAGAAAGATACTTACTTCAAAAGATAACGTATATCCTTATCTGTATGACATTTACAATAAATATTAAAGAGATTCTTTATTGTCCTATTTCATATAACATGTAGTTTTTTTCTTTTATTATGCTTGATGATGTCACACTCGAAAGTGCTTACATGATGATAGATCATGATTTAGAAAGAGATGCAGATATTTAAGTTGGAAGCGACATTAATTATGCAGTGCGTTTCATAATTTAGTACTAACATAATTTTGACAAATATCTATATACGCTCGTAAGGTATTAAAGGAATGGATAAGAGAAAGAAAAGCGACAAAAAAAAAGGTAAAAAAGAGAAGAATTAAACCAGTTGGGGTGTGGGTGGTGTAGTTGTGTGTCTTCTCATCATTCACACTCACATCTATCGAGAAAGTCGATATTATGGTCGGCATTAACATATATTATTTTTTTACATCATTCAACTCCTCAAAGGAAGCTCGGATTATGAAACATTTTTTAAGCTCCTGTGATATAATTTGACAGATTTATAAGTATTGAAATATAAGACGAGTCTCTTAAAAACCGAAAAAACAAATCAACTTCATTGTTTTGTTTATATATCTTCGTCATTTTTGTCGGTTCAGATCGGATCACCTCTCATTCGAAAGAGCACGTCAAAGTGAACAAAACGCATTTTACATCTTCCTCAAAAAATTGAGCCTTAATATCAAAAAATCTTTTTTTTTTGCCGAAAAATTCGGCATTTTTAAAAGCAAATTTTTTTCATTGTAAATCCTTTTTCAATATCAGAGAAAGGCGGGCCGGTGGTAGAGTGATTTTTTAGCTGCTTTATCCACCTCTGAATCAAACTCTTCTTTGTCAAAGCATAGCAAAAACATTTTTCCTCTCATTATATTCATTTTATTTTATCTGATCAGCATGATCGAAGTATGTGTAATCGAACAAGTGAAACGTAATGCACCATTGGTGAAATTGTTTGTGATTAGTGTGAGTGATTCATAACCAATATTAAGGTTTAGCAAACAAGATAAATGACAGTGTTTATCAATGAAAAATTGTTTAGCATAATCTACATGGGTGCAATCAAGATTGAGCAAAATAAGATAAGAAAATATGATTAATGTCATCGATTGTTGCTTGTATTTCTATGGTTCATCATTAAATATATACAACTTTTTCAACAGAGGAAAACTTTGGGAGATGACTTTGAAGAAGTTATGCTCAAAAGGGCGTAAGTCCGTCAATATCAAGGACTGAACATTACCAAAAAAATACTACCTTGAAAAGAATTGTTTAAATGAACAAAAAACTTATGAATTGATATGAAAGTAAATAGATGTGGCATCTACTGTTGAACTTGTATGAAAGTAAATACCTGTGGCCTCTATACTTTCTTTTTCTCTTGAGAATATTTCAACATGTGAAACAACTAATCCATATTCTCTTCTAATGAAACTACATTGAATATCTTCATTCGATAAAAAAGCTATTTCAATATTCTTCTTGAGTATACATATGTCTATATTGAAAGTAAATTTGTTTAATCGTATCATATAAATAAGAATTGAATTATATAATTCAGTACCATCAATATAATTTGAGTCAGTTCTTATTATTGACGGAAATAATATTAGTTTTTCAAAATTTATCATTCGTTGAAGTAGTGGAATAATTAGATTATCATAAACAACTGTGCGTCGACACGAGGATAATGAGAAATATTTCAATTTAGGAAGTTTTTTCTATAAAAATGAAACAAAGTTGTCGAAAGTCAATAATTGACAATTATACTAACCGTGTTATCTATAGTTCCTAATGTATGTGTAATTTCTCCTACATGTATAATCAGTATTGATAAATAATTGAGTCATCCATCAAGTAGATAAAGACAATCATCGAAAGTTTCCACACATCAATTTTCAATTGAGTCATAGTTGAAGACTTGCAATTGGTTGAAAAGTTAAAAGTAGAAAACATTGATCAAGGATCGAATTGACAAAAATCTAACTTGATTAGTTGTTTACATAGAAATCAAATAAAAACAAACATAGTTGAAAGGTTTTCAGGAAGTGATGGTGATCTTGTCTTATTCTTAACATCAATTTGAAGACATGTTATTTGTTCAATAAGAAGCTTGCGAAGAATTGTATTATCTTCCGTTGAGAAAAAAACGAAAGAAAACGATTATTAATTTATATATAATGAGTTTCTTAATGTGCTAGCTAAAATAAAAATAAAAAGTTGAGAATAATTTATTGTATGAAGAAGACGTTCCATTAAATGTTGTTCAATAATGAGTTCATTTAAAATGATGATGAAATCGTGGTAAAATATTTTTACAAATTCTCAAAAGAACTTCATTGTCTAGTGAGTAGATACGATCATCAAATGATTTCATCGTTATAGGGATCATATCAAGATTACGAATATAAAGTGGATCAAGTAGTAATTGATCGAGCCGTTTACTAATACCCACAAGTGAATCGAGAACATCGACCATATTTAGTTTCTTAAATATGATAAGTAAAATTTGATTTGGTAAATCGAGTAGATGAAGATGACTGTTATTCGAAATGTTCACGTCTAATTTATTCTGTTCAATCGTTTTTCTCATTGCTATCTGAGAGAATAATGAAGGACAAATGTTCATGTTATAATAATATGCTATAATGAATAGATAATGGCATTTTGCTTTCTGTGGAGCATTCTCTTCTTGTTTATTGGCAGATCATTCTTCTTTTGTCAGAATGTTTGTCATGTATAATATATTTTTCAGAATACAAAAGTAACACATCGACCTCTAGTGCCTTGCTTAATTCAATTTTGAAAAGTTGTACAAAGGTTAGGCGTCATGAAAGTATACACAATCTGATTTAGTATTATATCTGATAGACAAAAGGTAATCTTTCATGAATTCTGCCGTTAGATTTAAATATTGTTAAATTTGGACGTAAAGTTGAATGTCAGCATCACATTGATAGCATGTCGTTGTATTTTATGATTTAGTATGGCACATTTTCGATTTAACAAAATGTACTTTTTACAGGAAGGATAAGCAATATAATTCGAAATACTTCAAAATAGAAAGTGTTAATCAATATAAGAATACTAAAGTTTAATGAACGACACTCTTAAAAAAAGTGATAAAAATAAGCTCTCTTGTCGGTTGAAAATGGGACAAAAATAATAAGAATAGCGAAGGTATCTTTTTTTTTACAGGAAAAAAAAGGATGATTTTCCTATGTACGAATATATAGAGATAATCAAAAGAGGTATGAGTGTTGGAAGCGTGTCTGGTTATGGATATGATTGAGAGAAATTACCTGCCCAGCATCCACCTATATCCACCCCCACACTCTGGACCAATGGGCAAACTTCTCTTCTACCAGATAAAAATCATGTACAAAATGAGCAAGATTTTTATTGATAGGCCAAAACCTTTTTGACCCAAAAAAGTACTAATAACGTAACAAAAATATAAGAATGAGGTTCTTTTATCAACACAAACATAGAAATAAGGGTTCTTTATTAACAAAAAAAAAGATGAATGTGGGTGTGGGTATTAATTGAGAGAAGATGGACACTCACATCCACACTCACACTCACACCCTCATCTATCATGTAAATAACGAGGTTTTCACAAGAGCAAAAAACAAACGAATGCTCCATGCTTAAGCATGGTATAGGTGAGAATGCAGGTAAAGAGAGTATCCAACTATATACCCACAACATCATACAAATCCACACGAAAAACGATGAAAAGTCAGGAAAAAGTTCGTCTCTGAGAAAAATATATCATTTTATGATTTCAACAGTAGCATGGTGCCAATTGAAGATTGTTAGAATTGTGAAGGGTTCTGGCATAGTGAGGATCTTAGTCGTTGAAAATTTCAATTTGAATGAGGATGATTGCCGTAAATGTGCAAGATTTTCGAGGGAACTATTCATGTTCATACTTGATTATAGCATATGCCTTAAAGCTAGATAAATGAAAACTCGAATAGTTATAATTGGACTTGATTTCAAAGCTTTCTAGATTAATTATTACTATGAATGCTTGTGTGATATTCGTTAAGAAATATCACGTTTTGTCTTAGATCATCCCTATTATTATTTCGGAAAAAAAGTAAGTTGGTCTTACAAAACATAGAATTCTCTGCCTTATATATGCATGAAAAAAGAAGAAAAGAATTCAGTATTTAGGAACATCATCAAACTCTTTGTTTAATTGCATTCACTCGTTGCAATTTCGCGCACAGTCATTTTTGTACTGAATGTGAAAAAGGATCGTTTTGTTTAGTCAGGATAGAATAGAGGTCCATTTTTAGCACACGGATTTCCCCCTTCGATGAGATGTTCGATTGTAGCTCGATTGCTGTGATAGTAATGTAACTTGTTTTCGATAATATATGCACGTACTACTTCAAACAAATCAGCGTCCGCTTCTCTTGGTCCGTTATAATTTGCTGGATAATCCCATTGTGCACGATATCGGAAACCTCGAAAAATTTCCATTTTCCATGACCAAGAAGAATGTAATATGCTACCACCAAAACCTTCCGGCCAATTGTTGACTCTGTCTTGTGGGACTAATCTAGGTGGAAATGGGTTGCCGCCGGCACCACAATAGTATCCTTTAGACCATATAAAAACAACTGATGGAAAGCGCGTGAAGATCGATAGATGCTCACTTAGATGGTCTGGAGACCAAGTATCATCATCATCGAGATTAGCAAAATATATGTTGCAATTTGTTCTACAAATATTATGATGTTGATTAGCTCGCTGTAATGCATTGTTCATAGCTGAAACACCACCACTTTGCCATAATTGAAAGCCAGTTAGTTTACCTCGTTCTCCATGTTCTGGTAGATTGTGGAGAAATAATCTTGATGGTGGTATACGCGAGAAAAGTGAGCGAAATTCTGTTTCGTTTTCGTACTTGTCCCCAGTGACGAACAGTTCCCAATTAGGGTACGATTGAGAGAGTACTGATTGAACTGATTTTTTTATGTAGTATGGTGTTCGGCCATTTTTTCGCATATAAGATGCCATAAGGATAATAAACAGAGGATCATGCGTAGTGTTTAATGTTGTAATTTTAGTGGGAACGAATGATTTCGATGGACGTAAATAGATCATATACAGTCCAATCAAAAAAACTACCAGGCAGATGATAACTTTCGTAGCAACAGAACGGTTTATTGACATAATAGATCACGCACAGAATCTATTACAAAGATGAACTTGAAAATTTATTATTAGTAGATGTAATATTGTGGAAAATTTTCAACCTCGACGAGAATAAACGATGATCGAATTATACAGCTGCATCACAGTTGTTTATGGTATAATAATAAAATATATTACGAAGCTTATAGTTTTTTTTTATATAATACTCAAAAATTCAAAAACATACTATCGAATAAAGAACGTCAAATTTTTGTAGGTATATTGAATTTCATACTTATCCTATCAGCTTTTGTTCGTTGATGGTCACTAATGCGTCATTCGGTCTATTTTTTTTTACTGATCTTTTTCTTGACTCCCTCATTCAAGCGTCCTTCATCAATGATCCTAAAAGTGCTTTTCAGATATTTTTATCTCTTATTTCAAGTATAAAGTTGGAATATGTAGCTGATCAGAATGCTTTTTCCTGATAGATGAAGAATTCATTAAGAGTTTAACATGCGAACTATCACACTAAGTTAAAATGTGTCGCATGTGCCATGATTTACGACATAATGCATGACACATTAAAGCACGACACGTGGTGCTCGTTGCGACACATTTTGCTCAGCAAGAGAACAACACATTTTTTATTGGTTCGTCTGAAAACGCATACTATGCTTTTTTTCAATTTAATTCCATTATAATTATTTCTGTTCTGAAAACTCAAGCAAGTTACATCTTGAGATCTTTCCAGCCTCGAGTTGGTCCGATCTCTGCCAGACCGGTTCAGGGTAGTTCTCTCTTGAATATTGATTGAGAGTTGTATTTTTTTGACTAATAATTTATCGAGAAATAACCTAAAAAAAAATTATTGTGGAAATATTTATCTTACATTCAACCGTGTTGCCTATATATGGCTGTGCGTGCATAACAAAAACGGTGAATGAATAGTGAACAAACAGAACGCCACAAATTCGTATACAACACATTCTAAGCACGACACAATAACTCACGACATATAAATGCGACACATTTTATGTTAGAGTGTACATATCAAACCATCGAAAAAAAATTCTAAAAGTCTAACACGTAAGATTGGTATCGTTGGAAAGAGTGCAAAAAACTGACGAGGGAACCGATGCAACTGATAAATCGCCTCTGAGTTCAGACTCTGTGCATAAGATAGACCTTCGTGAGGTATGAGAAACCCTGAAAGGACAAGTGCCCATAGGCCTTCTGTCCAGAGTTCTAGGCATTTTATTGGAATTTTAGCCTATGACATGGTGCATACCAATAAATCGAATGACGGTATTTCGAGCTGAGATTTTGCTCACAGAGGGGCCTATTTGTAAGTAGAATGTCCTGAAAATTTCAGTTCAAAAGAGTGTTTCCTTCCCAAGATATTAAAGTTCCAAAAAGTAGGAAATTCTAGCGACTTTGTGGGATATGCGCGATTTTTGAGGCTGTAATATCTCGGGAGAAAAATGTTCTTTTGAGTTGAAATTTTTAGGATATACTACTAACAAATAGACCCCTCTGTGGGCAAAATCTCAGCTCAAAATACCGTCATTCGATTTATTGGTATATACCGTGTCATAGGCTAAAATTCCAATAAAATGCCTAGAACTCTGGACAGAAGGCCTATGGGCACTTGTCCTTTCAGGGTTTCTCATACCTCACGAAGGTCTATCTTATGCACAGAGTCTGAACTCAGAGGCGATTTATCAGTTGCATCGGTTCCCTCGTCAGTTTTTTGCACTCTTTCCAACGATACCAATCTTACGTGTTAGACTTTTAGAAATTTTTTTTTCGACGGTTTGATATGTACACTCTAACATAAAATGTGTCGCATTTATATGTCGTGAGTTATTGTATCGTGCTTAGAATGTGTTGTATACGAATTTGTCGCGTTCTATTTGTTCACTATTCATTCACCGTTTTTGTTATGCACGCACAGCCATATATAGGCAACACGGTTGAATGTAAGAAAGACAAATATTTCTACAATAATTTTTTTTAGATTATTTCTCGATAAATTATTAGTCAAGAAAATACAACTCTCAATCAATATTCGAGAGAGAACTACCCTGAACCGGTCTGACAGAGATCGGACCAACTCGAGGCTGGAAAGATCTCAAGATGTAACTTGCTTGAGTTTTCAGAACAGAAATAATTATAATGGAATTAAATTGAAAAAAATGCATAGTATGCATTTTTAGAAGAACCAATAAGAAATGTGTTGTGCTCTTGCTGGACAAAATGTGTCGCAACGAGCACCACGTGTCGTGCTTTAATGTGTCGTGTATTATGTCGTAAATCACGACACATGCGACACATTTTAACTTAGTGTGTATACTATTGAATACAAAAAAACAATATGGATATACTCATTATTTAATTCTATCAAATGATCTGTGGAGTTGTAAAATGGATGGCAAAATTCAGGTAACAGAATAAAAATTTGTATGCCAGAACTTGAATGATCAGGCGAATTATGCTTTTTGTGTCACCACACTCTGTATTGTGAAGAAAAACGATCATCATTGGAGAGAAAATGAAAGAAAGAAAGAAATAGAAATAAAAAAAATTCTGCTCTCTCTTCTTCGCAACAGAATATTTGTTTCGAGTTATAATTGCTGCATTGTACACAACGTGAGATGCTATGAACCCATGGAAATGCTTCTCGTTCTGTTTCTGCTTCTGAATATTAAAGAAACTATGCTTGAAAGGTACACATGTTCAGCTTTGTACTCGTCAAAAGCAAGAAAAAAAAAGAAAAAAAGACTTCAATCCAAAGCGTGACATGGAATGAAACGAGGGAAAGAATGATTTTTTATTGGTCTGATGAGGCTATGAGTGTGAATGAAGAGAAAAGACGCACATTGATACATATTGACACTAGCAAAAACAACTATAACCACACTTGCAGTATATAGTCGCATCGATGATTCTGTAGTTTAATCTTTTTCACTACATTAATCATTCGCAGAATCCGTAAAAACTTCGACAAGTACAGAGATTTCAAGCAAGCAGGGCGTTGTTCAGCATAAAAAAAAGATATTACACAGTACTACGAATTTACTTACGTGACAACATTCAATAGTTAACCTTGCCATTCAATATATTTAATGAGTTCCCAGAATCTAAAGCGGCTCATGTATTACTGACCCAAAGTCAATCGAATAGTGGAAGTAAAAAAAAAAGCTGACCTAAAATTTTGATACTCTCGAAAGGCCTATGTGTGATGGTTTCTGATGGGTTCCGATTGGTACGATTTTCAGAACTTCTGGGAATGGATGATCCAACCTTTCAAGTTTTTCTTTTTAATTACATAAGTTTATTTTTTCTGCTTGACTTCTTTCCTTAGTCTTCGATATCTATCAGATATTTTTCAAGAAAGATCGATTCAAACCAATGTTCATAATATTAAGATGATTATATAAGGATGTAGATGTGAGTTGTAAATATCAGCAATGGACTATTGGACCAATCGAAGGAGACAACGTTTGAGCTTATGTAGAAATGGTTCATCCTATAAAGGCACACATGTTGGAGAGAAGAAATAAAAAAAAAGAATATAAACATACATCTATGAGTTTTTATTTTTGCAGAGAGAAACGCTTTAACAAGAAACAATAGAATGAAAGAATATAAACATACATCTACCAATCGTTATTTCATGCACTAATGTCATATTTTTTTTTACTTCTGCTCATGAAAGCAGAATGGAATGAAGCATTTCTCTTTAAATAATTTACGTTTCTGCGTGAAAAAAAAATCAATTTCTACTAGAATTTCTCCTTAGAGTGGAAAAGTCAGCAGCAGACAATAGGACCAATACATTCGGACATTGTTCCTATTCATACAGAAATGGTTTATGTCATATAAAATCACATATATCGAGAAAAAATGAAAAACAAAGCAAGCATATATCTGTCACGTTATATTTGCCAAAAAGAAATACTTCACCAAGAAGAAATAGTAAGCAATAATATACATGTAAGGTGGAGGTAGAGGTATGAGTCTTCAGTTCAACCAAACCTAGATCCCAGTCACACCCATCCATACCCACACCTATATTCACATCTCCTCTGTGTTGAACCATTATTTTCATGCTTTGAAACTCACCAAAGGATTCCTCTCTAGTATCAACCTATTCCAGTCTCAAAAATCATTCTATTTTCTTCAGCTGAATCCTGGATGGTTTTAGTTAATCAATAGACTTTTCTATCGAGTTGTGACTTGAATATGTCTATTGATAGAATATGCTAAAGGTTGGGGTTCGCAGCAGCTAACAGAAAGCGAAATAATTATATTATTGTGACGAAGAATCCAATCGACGTTGATGAATTGCATTGTGGAAATCGCATCGAAATTTAATTCATATAGATGATAAATAAATATAACAGTATTGATACATTCAATGATATAGCGAAGTGAGCGAAAGATATTTGTCCTTGTAGATTGTCTAGAATTCGATTGAACAGGGTGTGGGTGTGGATAAAAAGAACACCCACATTCCACCCTCAGGTTTCATGTTTGCATCTAGAGTATGCTTCTCAAATGACTTTTTCTGGAATAAATAGCAGGGCAAAACAGTTTATCCTGTTCTGGCCTGTGCCCTTTACCATATTCGCCCTACCCTACTCTCAGGGCAGGGCAGGGCTAAAAATAAAAAATGCGTCTTGCCTTGCGAACAGCGCAGGGCAGCTCTGCCCTGTGACGGTCCCTGATTTCTGAAGCAATAATAATAATACCACTAAATATATAGGTATGGATGGCCTATCTATTTCCAAAGAATAACGAGTAAAGATAATTTCAGTAATTTAATGCGATGTATATAAGATAGGGGAAAATATCTTTTCCAGGCAACTCAGTATGCTTCGATGTTTATCAAAACAACTGAAATATGTTTTCTCAATATTTTTTGATTACAACGATTATGTTCCGACCTTAATAGCGTTTTTCTCCTAAATTCATTTTTGCTTATTGTTTCACTATGGTTCAGTTACATTTAGATTAGTGAATTTGGTACTGGTTTCTTATCATTCACAAACTATCTCTCATCTTCACCCTCATGATAGTCTGTGAGGCGATAGTAAACCAGTACCATCCTCTCGGTAATGGTGTTTCTTTCCCTGTAAATTTTTCATTCAAATATGACGGATTTTTCTATTTATTCACTGTGAAATGGTATGTTTGTGGCCTTAGGAACATGTAACTTTACCCGACACAGGAAATAAGAGCTTTTTTGACAATCGTCGTGAGCGTGGGCGCCTTTGCCGGCAAAAATATCGGAAATATAGATGTACCGAACGAATTTTTGAAAATTTATAGAACTGAGATCGGGATCTGCTTCGAAACTTTGGTTCTATCAGAACAGTTATTTTTCAAGAAAAATTAAAATTGAGACTTGAGAAACGTCGATTTTTCTTATGAATATACGGACAGCAATTTCATTAACTCTAGGAAATGGATATTTCCAAGACTTTGAGATTTAAAAAAACTCATCTTTCTGCAAGTTCTAGACCGACAATTAATGAATTTGTACATCTCTAACTGTGTTATTTTTCTAAATTGCTTGCAAAGGAATTTTTCCTATCTGAAAAGTTTCATTAACATTTAACATTTTTGAAGTAAAGAACAAGATTTTCCTACTGAGGACGATGACTCCAGTGCTCGGATCCATGAATTTCCGGCAGGGACTCGCAGGAAAGACACCATTTCCGACCGGAAAATGAAAGCAGTATTCCGGGCAGAAATTTTGCGGATTTTTTTCAGTGACTTCCAGCCGTTTTCTGCCAAAAACAGCCGGAAGTTACCGAAAAGAATAGGAAAATTTTCCGATCAGGATACTGCTTCCATGCCCTTTTCCCATTCTCTTGCCGATCCAGATCAACTTTGGACGCTTCTGGTCCGATGATAAACTTTTCGTTCAGTATGCAAAACACTTGAAGGAGTATCGCCCTGAAATGTTTTTTACTCGAGCCACTATGCAAAACATTTGTTATGTAACTTGTTTCATCGCTTGATGACATATGGAGTAGTGCGATGGATTGTATCTTTAATTTGTTGTCGATTAATAAATATTGCATCAGCATTTCGAATTTCATAACGTCGGATTAGTATTAACATTAAGAAACTTCTAAGTAGACAAAAGTCGAACTACTCGAACCAGCGAAACGCAATTCAGTTTAGTCTCTTGTATGTAAGATTATATTGTATATTTTGAAATATTCTTGGCAATTCACTTTATTCATCGCTCTCTCTATATATATATATATGCACAGTAAAACATTGACGTATAGATTTTTACGTTTATTTCGAAAAGAGCTTTTTCACAAAAGAAATAACAAATGAAAAAAAAGGTGTCAATCTTGTTGAACTACTAGTTGTTGCAGGAAAACATCCAAGATCTTGCCAATCTACTGGTTCTAAATTAATAATTCCAATTTATCTGCAATATCATTTTGTAATGTAAGATTATCTTGACCATTATAATATAATGGTTCGATTTCATCTAGAAATCCTTCTAAACCTGATGGAGTCAATAGAATTTGTATTCGAACTGGTTTTGCACGTTTATCAATATTTTGTATTCGAATAGCTTGAGACACATGTCGTGGTACATATACATAATCACCAGTTGATCCACAAAATTGTTTTCCATCGACAAAAAATTGTACATGACCATCAATTATATGAAATAATTCATCTTCTCGAGTATGAATATGTTTGCCAGGACCATCATCTAAATATTCAGCTTCAAACAATGTGAATAATCCATTTGTATCGTTGCCACGAAATTTGTATTTAAAAATTGAATTAGGAAATAGAAGAGTATGAATATATTCACTTGAATTGGGTCGTACAGCTAACCATTTATTTCCTTCCACATTTTTTTTCAAAATAATACTATAAATTATATTCACAATAAGAACAAAATTAACAATTCTATATATAGAATTCATGATAATCTAAAAAGAAAAATACTTCCTGAGAATATTCAATTTATTCATTGAAAACTAATCGATTTTAACAGAATATCTTTTCTCTTCATAATATGCAGGAAAATACAAGTATTTACTATTAACAGACTCACTTATATATAGAATAAAACCTTCTAATATATTTTTCTCCGACAATATATTATAAATAACATTTATCATTCGATAAATAAAGGAAGTGATAAACGTCGAATTATATCTGATATTGTGTAATATCATATTTCAAGATGAGTGAAACAAACGAAACTGCATGCATTTTCTTCGAAGTTTAAAGTAACTTGAATATATGAGAAACATGCCAGCTGGTACACATTTCCTATGTCATAGAGATATTATCTATGAAGACTTGGTTTTTTTTTAATTCTTTGATGAAAACGTACATGATGTTTTGTTTTATCACCGAAAAACTTCAAATTACAATAAATTTCGTTCGTGATTTTCTATTGCGGAAGAAAAATAGGAAGTCAATAATACAAACCTGATTTAGACTTTAATTGATGTCAGTTTCTGATGAAATGACAGAAATATATATATATATATATAAATACCAATCTTTAATTATTCACTCATATTACGAAAACGAAAAATTATAATGATCAAGATACGAACAAAGAAATTGGTACGATTTCTTAGTGATCCAAGTGGTTACAAAAATAAACCTATGACAGGTACAAATAACAATAAGATTACAGAAGATCAATTAAATGAAAATTTTCAAATACCAATAAAACATAATTATTTAACTAGAAGAATATTTTCTCGTCAATCTTCACAGAAAATTAATCATCTAGAACAAGAATCACAATGTATTAGTGAAATATTACAAAAACCGCAATTTACTCATGTTACATCAGTATGCAAAGATGAATCAAATCAACAAGATATTGTTATTTCGTCTAAATCTTTACATACAGTTATCGAAACAGATTTAACTTTTCATCGTGATATCAAAGCAGGTAGTCAACGATTTCGTTGGAATATATTATTTAATATTCTCGTTTGGCTCATTGTACCATTTCCATTATGGATACCATTCATCTCTAACAAACTTGCATATTTAATAATACCTTCTATTCAATGTCTATTTGTTTTCATGTGGATAAGTATATGTCTATTTTTTCGTTTTCTTTTCTATTGAATAATATGTTTCTTTTTGTTTTCTTTTTTTTTATAGTTATTGCCATATTAGCTATGAAAAATGCATTGATTTTATATTTAAATCGTTATCGAGATTTTTTGAAAGATGTTGATAAATCTTCATCGAAACATATTCGACATATTGTTGCAATTATTTGTTATAAGGAACCAGTGGACTTAATAGCTCGAAGTATTCAAACAATTGCAGATCAAACTGAAGTACATAGAATAACAATGGTTATTTCATTTGAAGAACGAACACCAAATAAAGAAGAAAAATGTGAATTTTTAGAAAAAAAATTTATTCAATGTGGATTTGAACGAATCATATTCACTATTCATCCATATGGTTTGCCGAATGAAATACCAGGAAAATGTTCCAATTCTAATTATGGTCTTCGTATGGCTGTTCAACAAATGGCAATTAATGATAACGATACAGATAATATCTTAATAACAACATGTGATGCTGATTCAAAATTTTCACCTGAATATATAAGTGCATTAGCATATAAATATTTAAAAGAAAAACAACCAGCATTATCTACAGTTTATCAATCACCTTTATTTTATAATTGGAAATTAGATGGTTTATCATTTGTTAGTCGTGTTACTGGTTTATTGAGAAGTTTGTTAATGTTAGGCGCATTGATTCCATTTAATATAAATACAATGAGTATTTTTTCATATTCATTAAGTCTTGCACAGAAAGGAAATTATATTCATCCAGCATATCAAATGGATGATATTATTTGTCTTATTCGTTGGATGGGAGTAACAAAACAACGATTAAGAATATCGATGATACCTGTACCTGTTTTAAGTGGTCCAACAAATGGAGAAACAATTGAAAAAGAAATTATTGAATGGACAAGACAAGCTCGACGATGGACTATTGGCGCTATTGAAGTATTTCATTATTTTATTGTTAAAGCAAAAGGAATGCCATCATTTGCTGCATGTTGTTGGGGAATTTGTTTTATTATTTATTATGGAATTCTTTTATGTACAGGTGGTTTATATGGTCTTACATCAATGTTATCTATGTTTTTACTTGTTAAAGATGTTCCATTCATTATTACCTACATTATGTATGGGATGTTGGCTGTACAAATGTTAACATTTCTAGTTGCATTTATTATCGATGGATTTATTCCAAAATTATTGAATATAGAAGAATATATTTGTCTTCCACGAAATTTCTTTCATTTTCTAACAACACCATTTGTTCTCTTAGCTTATTCATTTGTAGAATTTTATGCATTACATGAAATTCTTATATTTGGGAAGAAAGTATGTAAACATGGTGCATCAGCAAAGATGGCTCTTTAAAAAACACAAACTTCTTCTATTTACCGAAAACTTCTATGACATAAATGGATTCATAGTAACAAAAAAAATGTAAAATGCGTTCATTTTCTTAGTACTATTTTTTGACAAAGTGATCGATATTATTTGTAAATAAACAATAATTCTCACTTATGTTGTTTTAAGAGTAATATCATCTTATATTTTAAAAATATGTTAGAAAGTTAATCAATTAATTGAGAGAGTACACTGTTCTGTAATTCGTTTTAATTATTTTATCGTGTTTTACTTTTGTGTTATAAATGTATAAAAGTTGTTGAAGTACATGATCTACTCCTCCTTGAAGTTGATCTAAAGTGCTGACAACATGAAATAAAAATATCAAGATAAAAAGTTATTTTTAGTTTTTTATCCAACGTTCAGGATAATTGCCATTATTACTTATATTAAGTTCGATCCTTTCTAACAATTTGTTAGAAATTTTTTGAATTCTTTTTGTACAAGAAAGAAAACTAAAAGGGTGTGGATGTGGGTGTGGGTGTGGGTGCCGGTGTGGGTGTGGGTGTCGGTGTGGGTGTCGGTGTGGGTGTGGATATTTGAAGAGATTATACACACCCACCGACACCCACACCCATACGCAGATCGTCCGATTCAAGATAATTGGACAAAACTTTATGAATATGTGGCCTTCCATTATCGTAGTGGCTTATTAATATGAGTAGTGCCATATGAAGGTCTTCGACGTCTGATTTCGTCAATAAGAGATCGTAAACAATTATTGATGTAATAATGATGATCAATAGCTTGTCCCCGTCCCACACGATGAATGAAAACAGGACTATTTGACTTAAAAAAGATGGAAAATAAGGTTCTTGGAGCAAACTTACAGCATCGAACTACAGTAGATGGAGGATCTCCTCTTCCCACCCATACTACATTCGATGACCTTCAACCATCTTGTGTATGATGAAACTACGACTCATCACCAGTTATTATATCACATAAACGCCATATTTCTGCTTGAAATTTTGCCAAATTTTGTTGGCATATTTGCACTCGTTCAGCCCGTTGAAAGTCAGTCAGATCCTTGGGTATACAACAAGCGGTAACCTTCTTAAGGTTTAAATGATCGGTGATGATTCGCTGAACGGTGCCATGACTTAAACCAGTTTCCTCTTGCACCTCTTCTATTGTAATGTAAGGATCATCATCAATAAGAAGGAGCTTGATCGCCACAGAGAGAATATAGTTCATCATAAATCACTCCTGCTGAGATATTAAGTGCTGTGCGTGCTTTAATATAAAAGCGAAAGTTTTCGTTATTCATCTACAACAAATGAATAGTACTAAAGATTAAGCCCTTCTTAAGTGGTCTGTTACGAGTCGTTTATTAATTCAAAGTGATTACAGGCTTAAGCTGCGCAAAACTGAACTAATCGTCTAAAGTGGTAGATATATATACTGGAGCTCGGACATTGAAGAGTATTCCAGAAGATCATGAGTCAGATCAAAGGAAAGAGATGAAAGAAGTCCATCAAGAGAAACACTAGTACAGAACAGAAAAGAGAAAATGCACTTGAATAACCTGAACATACGAAAAGAAGAGAGAGAGAGAGAAATATAGCGTGTTTTCTAGAAAGAAGAAGAGGAGAATAAAGAAAAAACGAAAAGAAAACATGCATGGATGATAATATGCACTGTTGGTACCAGCTGGAGTTACACAAAAAACAGTTTTTATGATAATTTTATTATTATGATATCGATTGAATAGTGATCAAATAGCATAGAAAGATAGAGCAAAAGATGCTCTATCTGTTCATGAGAAAAGGAATTTTTCCAAGCAGTCTATACGAAATTTAGATGCAGGGCTCACTACTTTTGGTATGACCTAAGTATTGTTTGACCCTTTTTTGGCCAATATCTTCCTCAAACATGATGGTATAGAGCTGAAAATTTTATCATAGCTTTCTCACACCAGTCCCAACATATTCGGAAAATTTCATGTCATTCGAACGTTCCTGGTCTGAGATCAAATTTTGAGGGGCCTTAAGATGCCATTTGTTTCTAAATATTTGGCGATCTCTGCAAGATAAGAGACCAAAATCACACGGAAAAGAAAGACAAGTAAATTCTATAAAAGCTTTTTTATTGCATTACAAAGTCATATAATTATCTATCGAAACATTTACTGTTCTTAATTGCAGTAATTCATTAGAACCGAAAACGAACAGAGAAAATGTTTTAGAACAATTACATTGAGACTATTTCTATATGCTTTTCACTGAACTATATAAAAGTGCGACAAGTAGTCACAGAAAAATAATTAAAATTGATTCACATTCAACAATATATAACTCAGTTGGCTATTACCATTCTTTTCTGTAAAAAAAAATTGTCTAATTGAGAAAAATATAAAAAGTAGAAAGATCAAATTAATTTTAAGTCAGCTTCCAAGAAAAATCTATGACAATTTTGTATGACAGAAAATCATATGGTAACTCCAAATATAAGATGCAATAATGAAGCTTGTTTCAGTAGGGAGATTACAACCATCAGACATATTTCTTCTATAAAATTATGCATTGGATCAGTTGGTAAAGATATTATTGGATGAAAACCGATAAGATCGTGTAATGGACTTCGACCAACCGCATCAATCAAGGGTAACTTATTAGGATCATTGGTGATCTCTTGAACTAAATTATCATGATCAACCATTGTTCGACTCTTGATTTGTGACAATGGAATTGGTGAATTCTTGTCCTCATATGTGATGTAACATCCTCGACAAAAATATTCATTACTAAAACATGATTGAAAACCATCAACGAGATGAGAAGCAAGATTGTCCGCAACGAGAGTTGAAAATGAAAATTTAAGATGAGTATCATTGATAACAAGACCATGGAGTTGTAATTAATTTAAACTATTGATAATCGGCTGGAAAAAACATTTAGCCGTGACGTTGTCCTTGAAAAATAGAAAATATAAGATATTGCAAGTTTACTATGATGTAATGTCGTTTCTTAAACGAAATGAACCAAATTAAGATCTTATCCAACGTATATTAAATATACGAAAGCAACAAAATTTATTGTATTGAACTGAAATAAATCAATATGATTTATTCCAAGAAGAAATTCATTGTTTTGTCTCAAAACAACTGAAAATTTTCTTATTGACAACGCTATTAGTCATTGTTTAAATTTATCGTAAGAGTATTTACCTTTAGAATTTTACTTTCACAAATTCCAACTAATTGGATAAAATCAATTTTTGATCGATATTGATCTGGAATATCTTCAAGTGAAAAATAAATTATGCACATTTTATGTTGATTACGTTTTGATCCAATACGATTTTTTTTATTGCGAACATAAGATCAACATCGTATTCCGTTGCTATTCGTTGTTGTTGAATATTTTTCAGAATTTCTAGAACAAATGGTTGAGAATTCAGTATCGAGAACAATGTTTTATCAATTGGAATAAAATATCCACGCTCTGAAACTTCACCAGGAGATGATACAGTTATTTCTTCAGGTGAGCTATAACTAAAATAGGTTTCATAGTGTTTAATGAATTGATATTCATTTTTGGTAATAGATTCGATAGCATTGCATATATCATTATGTGTATGTTTTAAGTGATCGAATTTAATAGCTTTTTTTATTTTGTTTTCTAGAAGATGATGATGCAGATGAGTAATTATCTTCAGAATCAAAAAAAAAGTTTTTTTTCTGATAAAACTGGTATATACTGTATTAATGTTATAATAAAAGTAGAAATAATGTTCATGATACTTTTTGGTACTCAATATTCCTCATGTAATTGTAAAATAAATGAAATATATAACCTTTGAATGTCCACCCATGATCCTGAAGTTCTCTCATCACCACTAATTGAACTAAATGATGATAGGGGATTATAAAATATTGTTTCATAATCATCTTTTGCTGATAATGATTCTGGATCATCATTTGCGAAGTCTGATGCGTTGTTATCATCACTGTTGGTTATTCTAAGTTCAACATCTAAATCTGTATTTTCTTGCTGTCGATTATTAACAGAAATAGCATTGATGTTGTTGTTGTTGTTGTTGTTGTTTTCTGGTAAATGAAATCCAAATAAGGGTTGTCGATATATATGAGATTTATATGCAGCATATGTTCGATATAAAGCAGTGTGATGTGTGAAACACTTTAGCAAGACTAACGAAATCTTAATTCGTCAGACAAAGTGGATAAATGAATGATGACATGAAATTTTGACAAAATGCAAAAAGATCAAAATTGAAAGGATTCTTAAGTTTATATATATTAGTACAATGACTGTAGTTGCTGTTTAGGTGTTTATTTTATGATCACTTTTCGAAAGAGATAGATGAACAGAAATGAATGGATTACAAATAACGTAAACTATTTAATTCTTTTCTTTCACGTACACGCATACTTCTACTTTACTGTAAGAAAAATATAAGAAAAGGATTGACTTGGAAGAATGTAAAGAAATGTTTCTAGCTGTATTATATTATACATGAATTTCTAACGCACACAACGAGATATTCAATGAAAATAAATACTTAGAATTACGTAGCTTTAAGTAGTAAAAAAAAGGCATACATTTCTGTAATAAATAAAAGCAGATTGATCTTCAAATCGAGATAAAGTAGAATCATCAGCGATGAATGATTTGCACCACTTAATAACCTCTTTACAAAACCAGTTCATTATTTGATAATTAATTTATCTAAAATTCTAAAGAAAAAAGTTTCTTGATAACTATCCACAGAAAGCATTATTGTCGGAATATAAAAAGATATAGAATTCAACACGAAACAAAATCATTAAAATTCTTCTTTTCGATTGAATCGTCTATTTTTCTTGGTTTATTAATCTAATTATAATAAAGTTCGATAGATGGTGACGTGGGCCCCTAACGTGTAGAATAATTATAGCAAATTGTTAACCATTGATTCCGCAAATCATTTCAGATAAAAAATGAAGCATCTCATAAACTCCATATTAACCTTTCATTCAGCAAAGCTCTGCAGAAGGAGGGTGTGGGTGTGGATATCTTTTTCCACATCCACAACCTTTGAAGGAAAGGATAGAACAATAAACCCTTATTTGTACAATAATAAACCTTTCGAAACAAAAATTAGTAGGATAAACTCTTAGACGACAGACAAACTACCCTTGGCGATAGAAGGATAGAGAAGTCATCATCCACCGGTAGAATGACAAACTTCTGAAAATGAAGAAGTATAAAGCATAACCCTTTACATACAATACTAAATCTTTTTGATAAAGCAATAGATGAATTAACTGCTGAACGTTGAATAATAAACCCTTCAATGTAAAAGATGAAAGAATCTATCCTCAGGAGTAGAATAATAGACCGCATCTCGAAAGGATAGAATACTCTTCCCTGAAAGGCAGAATAATATACCCTTTGAAGAGAAAAGTAGGATAATAAATCCTCAAGTGAATAATAAAATACTCTTATCTTGAAAGCATACAATAATCTACTGTCATCCATTGAAAAGCATATTCTTATCTTAAAATCATAGAATAAAAAACCTTTAAATAGTCGTCATATACCCATTGAGCCATTATAAACCCAAAACAATGGTTGGTTGGCTCGATAAAGAGCCTTAAAAAGCATGTCTGTGAAGACAACTGAGTTGATGATAGAAAAGACATCTGTGAATTGATCTTTAGTTTTTCATTTTACTCGCTCAGTTTTCTCTTCAGTACTTTATTGATAAGCAAATAACCGTGGACGAGTGCAGAAGAATAACGATGGTTGTGCGAGAGTGATGTGTGTGCTGTTGAGTGGGTGACGAAAAGACTTTCACCTCGCACTTGTATCCCTTGAATAAACTTCTATCGAGCATCAAATTCTGTATTTGTTTTAATGTTTTCTAGTTGAGACGAGTGGTTTCATACATTGACTCTCGGTATCATGTGGCAGGATTCGATCTCCAGAGCTGTTGAATCATATGACGACTTTTTTCTTCGATAAATTAGTACTCAACAAACAATGCTGGAGCGCACAATATACTAAATAACCTTCCTAGTAAGAAGTGCTAAGAATTGATCGGCATTTTCCATGCACGCACGATGATCTATTTTTCGATCAAGTCAGCGAACTTACTCATCTTCATTTTAGGATAGCTATGTTTTCGCCTTCCAGTAACCAAGGATAGTTTAGTCGCACTAGTGACAATAATTTGACATATGATCATTAGTATCCATTCCCAGGTATTGAAACAATTAATATCGCTTTTAGCTCATATGAGACTCGGCTTTGTGAATTTAAAGAATCGATCTAGTAAGGGATCGGAGTGATTATCATCGGATAAAATCGACCATGGCTATCATTTCTCAGATAATTCATCATTGAAATAGTTAAATTTGATCTTTTTTTTTTATTGCTTGACATTAGCAAAATTCTCCTCAAAGTCTTTTTTCAATGCGCTAAGAAATCGTTCTTTCATGTCATTCTCGATGCGAAATGCAACTTCAGCTCCATTACGATCTCGTGGCAACCATTCGTGACCATTAAACTCTGGGTTGAGACGAAATACACGGAAATATAATGGACCCGTCCATATTGTATACATGCGACATTTATCCGTGTAGCCGAAATCGACCAGAGCTGCCCAATCATATCGAAAATTCGAATTAATGATCACTTCATTCGGAAATTGTCTCCAGTTAACCATCCGATTTTCATGTACTATTTTTCTCATTAATCCATCAGCTGTAGTCAACCAAGTCTCGAGAAGTTGAGGATCACGTGATCGAACAATGGAGCGACGAATTGTTTTCGCAATACTTTGTAAAGATAATGGATCATCGAAATTCTCGGACAACATCATAAAGATCGCATTGGAAACATGTCCCACTGGAGCAATTGAGTTGGAAACACCACGAAAATTGACTACGGTATTTGCACGTTGAATAAGTCGTTGATCATCATCTCGATAACAATAAGTATTCAATGTTAGAATAAGATAGGCTGAGAGAGAATCTTGAATAGTGACAGTGTGTCCACCGGCTAATGCATGCAACTTTTCTAATTGTTCACCGGAGAAACGCAAATTAAGTTGTTCATGAGTATCTTTCCAACTGCTATAACGTTGAAACATCTCCTGTAATGGCCCAGCATGTGTCAAATGTTTCATCATTGGTAGAAAAGTTTGATTGGCTTCATCTTCGTGCCATAGACGTCGTTCGAAGACAGGCAAAGGATCGAGTGGTTCCAAATGTTGATAGAAACGTGAGATAGTATTTAAGAAATGTAAAAGGGCAGCAGCATCACCCACTATATGTGCCCAACTAACTCCCAAGATCCATTCGCCGCTTTGCACAAGACGAGTGAGTTTCAAACGAAGGAGAGGCTCATCTTGAGAATCAGAAATTAACTTGATAATTTGTACTCCGTCAATGAATGGATCAAGTAGATTTTCATGTACTTCTGCAACAATATTCAAATGCGTTGGCCAAGTGGCTAGATCAGTATTTTCAACATAAGTCATTGGTATTGGATTATCTGACATTTCGATCACATAATGATCACCATCGAGCAAGAGAAAACGACCGGCAATGGCAGGCCATAAGGAGAGAGTACGACTCAGTGCATTTTTGAATCGTTCAATATCCAATTCAGATGGATACGCGAATACTTTGTCCGTACGGGCACGAACCCATAGATCAATGCCAGCGAGTTCAATGCGACGATTGTGCCCAGTTGGCGACGATGGATGTACGAGCGAACATGTCATTTTCCAATTTTGAAGGACACAGTTATGATTATGATAAAACTGTGCTTGTAGTTATTTATGACAGAAAAAAAATAACTACAACAAAAAAGAAAGATTCTTTCTCAAGGATCAACGACGTTTATTCGAGAGAAAAATTGTGAAGTGGTATTTTTAAATAGTATTACTTCACTCTTTATCATTGCACGAGCTCGCAAACATTATGTTAGTTAATCCTAAATCTAAGTAATTTTTTTAAAAACGGGTCAGTTTGCACAAGTGCAAAGACAAGGTCGTTTTGTTTTTCTCTCACAAGGACAAAGTTATATTCAGTTCTCTTGTTTCTACTGATTCTGTTGTAAGAGATAAGATGCTATACAATGTCATATTAATCGTGCATATAAGGAACGAATAGGCAAGAGGCTTTGCAGAGGGCCCTTGTCAGCAATATTATCTCTTTTGACTTCATTCAAATGATATCCAGTTCAGGTTAACAGAGAAACAATCAGTCGAATAACGATGGTATTGTTTAAATAATGCCAAAAATGTGTTGTCTTTCCGTATATTGATAGACCTCCAGTAACTCTTCATCTTTTAACATGATTAAAATTAAAAACAGTACAATTTTCTTTGAATTTGGAAATTTTGTTTAAATCAAATACTCATCTTTTGAACTACGAGTGCTAACGAGAAAAACTTACAAGTAATTCTCTTAATACTTTAACATCATTGTGGTACAAGAAAAATTCTTTTTGACTATAGCCGTGGACAAAAGCCTCGCAACTAGCCAAAAACTATTCAAATAGAAGCTGTTTGTCTTGAAACTTCTATCGCAAGTAGCGCTTGATGAATTCTGATTGCAGGCACGAGCTCAAGCTCTATCCCCTTAGTTAGAATGAGATAGAAAAGTGAGAAAAGAGATCTAAAGATGTTCAACCCATCATTAAAAAGCTCGACTTTCGTTGTCTTCCTAGTAAAATTTTCATCTCAAACAGATATGTTCCTTCGTTAAGTTATGGATCATTCTTCATTAACCTACTGAATTAAGATATTATAAACCTGTGCGTATTTGACTCGAATCTCGGATTAGGCTCCATCGTCTGCCTTGAAAATTGTACTACAAAATGCTAGACTACATCCAGTTCTTCCCTAAAGTTTGCAGAATGATAGATATTAGAAAAGTGAAGATTCATAACATTCTATACCTTAAGATCGACAGCTCTTGAAAATCTTCAAATCAAAGCAGATAGAGCGTTTCTTTATAGCATAGATAGATTATCATCAGAACTACCTATTGCAGTAAAAATATTACTCTGATGCCATCAAATACAAAAAAAGCAGCATAACCTTTGCAATATCACAATTTCTTGCTTAAAACTAAAAAACAACTTACTCAATTTTTCCAAAAAACTTGTTTTTCATTATGTTTAACTAGAACAAAATTCAATAAATCTCACCAACCTTGAAAGCGATGCTTCTTCTTATCTTCAAAAGAAAATTTTCTTTTGACCTATTACTCAAAATCTTTTTTACCTCACCCAAATTCACTCTAAAAAAACCTCCATAAAATCATTCGTAAGAAATTTGGCTTGTTCGAATGTATACTGTTTTGCTGCATGTGATGATGAACCATCAACGACAGTTGAATAAAAAGTGTTAATAGAAATTCATGATTGAGAAGGTTTTGTAGAAATAGAATTTGAATTCGAAAAAGTAATTTATGATGATGTTGTAAGTGTTGATGAACGAGAAGAACTAGACAAGGACATTTTTTAGAATATAAAGAAAGATTTCTAAGGTAACGACAGTCCTGTCTGTTTCTTTGTTTTACTTTTTTATATTTGCTGTTCATTGAAGAAATATTCTAACCAATAGAAGAATTACACGGGATTTTTGAAAAAACTTTTAGTGGAAATATATAACATCTGTTGAAAATTTCATTTCGTTTAGCCATCAGCAATGTACACAGACTGATCATTCGTCGCACATGTCATTGAACAACTTATTATTAGTCTATTCGATTTAATATCTTATGCATGGATACTAGATATACGTATATCTATAAACAAGAAACTTATAATTGCATAATATCATCTTGAATATAGAAGGGAATAAAATCACTCGATTAATAGACTTATCTAACGAGATATCCTTCGAAAGTATTGACTCTTTTCGTACATTTGATATTTTAATAACATTTTCTTCACTCATTCAATGTCTGTTTTTGATTTTCTCTTCAAATCATCTTCGTATTGTTGTTTCATTATTTCACTGTTGTCATCAAATGAAATTTTTTTTCTGCATATTTCATCGATCATGCATGTCAACTGGCTTTGTTCTCTCTTGAGGAGTCAATTCGTGACTTTTCATCCGTCATTTCTTTTTTTTTTGGTACTTGACATACATTTGTAAACCTTGAATTATGTGCGTATTACTCATATCATTCATTACTACGATAGCAAAATGTTATTCAACAACTAGAAAGCATCTCTAAACTTGATTAGATCATTTCAATTAATCATAGCACATTATATAGAATTTTATAAAACGAAGAAGTAGTATTCAACTCAAACTATTTTAATACACAAATCAATTGCCAGTTCTCTTAAGTGGAAATTGTCGTTACTGATTTCGACATTTTATGATTTATCTCATTTCGTTATCAATTTATTGTGCTCTACCTGTGCTTCATATTTATCTAACATGTATAGTATGTTTTTGCGAAATAATGTAGCATTCATTGCTGTTTTATTTGAAATTCATTCATTGATCACATATAATTGACTAGCTTTGCAAAGACAAAATTGTTGTGAGTATTAATTTTAATAATTAGATTGATATTATTTGGATTAGATTATATTTAAGTAGTTGAAAGAAACTACATTTTTGTGTTTTTAATTTGTATTAATTAGGTTCATTGCTATTGTCTTTAATTCTCGTTATTTGTGGATGATTTTAGCAGTTATTAAACAACTATATACATATCTTGATCAATCTCAAAAATTTTTTCATTTATGGACGGTTAAAATATGAATTTTTCAAAAAATAGACGTATAGCTTATGAAACTAACTTTTTTTTTTGTATTGAACATAAATAAGATATTGACAAAAAGAAAATCAACAACATCTGTCACGGTCTATGACATAGAAGAGGAAGGGTGAAGGGAAGGCATTGCTAAGATGTCTGTGAGGGAGGGGAAGCGATCTGAATTTCTATCTCTACGCTTTAACATTCGTTTTAGATCGTGTTTTGCAAAAACTAGTCTTGTACGAAACCTTATTTGTACGTAACTTAAAAATGATGTCACTTGCATTTTAAATGACGTATCGTAAGACTATCGACTTAGGCTTTCCTTATTGCAGTATCCAATAAGCCCACAGTCAATGCTCTGACGAAGTAATGTCGAATCAATCACTGTAGATTCCGATATTATCGTTTTTCAGCAATATGGTGATGGCAAATGTTTGACACATTGCTCTGCAAAGTAATAAACAGGAGTCCTATTGACTAGCATAGTCTAAAGACAAGGTACTTCAAACTTTCGTTATCGTATGCTGACAGCTATTTCGTGTGAGATACCATCGATAGATAGTTGCACAATGTATTTCAATGATCTACTGCGAAAAACATCCGAATAGCTCTTATATAATTCGACGAATATGCATGAGTTGTTAGCATTGTAGTTGATTCGATGACAGTTGATTTATCTTTCTTTCCATTGACCATTCAGATTCACACAAAACTACTTCACAGTGACCAAGCCTGAATGGTAAATAAGATCAAAGATCTATCCATTGACATTGAATCGAGTATTTATCCTTTAGTGTTTTTTGATGACACCTTCTGCGTGACATTGTAACTCAATCATAGTGAACGTTTTATGCTACTCAGGTTTTTTTTATAATACTTATCACAATAAGAGGAATTTATTATTGTGCGCTCCGATTATAATAGCTGTCTGTAATTCTTATTTATCTTCTACAAGATCAGCAATATGTGCAAAGAAATTGTTCGTAATTGTGATCTTTGATTTCCTTCAGACTCAATGAATATACACTTTCTAAATTTGGCAAGATTATGTCCACCACTTCATGAACATTCATGGTAATATAAGGCAATACATCCAGCCAAGATTCTTCGATCAGTTGTTATTTAAAGAATGATAATTGTTTTTATTTCTTTATATTAATTACACAGAATTCTTATATAAATATTCATTCTTTTGAAAGATATGCTTGAACTATTGTCCTACGTATTCCATAGATTGAAACAACAGGATCTACAAGCAAAAATTCACCTGTGTCTGCCCATCCATCTGTAACATAGCTAACATATGGTATCTATGGTACAAATGACCATAGATGCTACATTTATACGAATGACTGCATAGAACTACAAAAGATGCTTAAGCAATAGGATTCAAAAGGATCGAGGAGTAATATCCAAGAATGAGGAATATGAAACCTGTATACGCTCATTATTTCGCCGTATCGTAGATCGAAAAATAGAGCCGTTTATCAAGAGGTACTCAGTCAAACGGAGGTCGTATGGAGTCTTTGGATACGAACTTCGTAAATGGCTACATTTACAATTGTAATAATTGTTATGTCTTATTTCTTTTCTTTATTGCTCGTATTCTCATATTATACTCTGATATCACCGAGATAGCAACGTGATGGTATGACAACAGAACGGAACAAAAGAATAATCTCCTTCCGATGGGATCGAACCAACGTCTTCTGCTTTCCGGGCAGCTGTACTACCACTATACTAGAAAGGAGCGTGTGTTATTCGTTTCGTTCCGTCTTATGTTCGAAGGGGAACACTTCGAACATAACAATAATAAGTCTTGTAACTATCATAGATAAAATTTCAGAGTTCAACATATATTAATATATGATAAAAAGAATTTTTCATTCATTGTACTCAATTATCGTTTAAAATTAAAAATAAAATTTGAAGAACAGTATGAAAGAACAAGATCGAATATAGTTACAGTAAGTGTAATGATTGAAAAATTTGATAAAATTTCTATAGAAAAAACAATAATATTGCACGTATGAACTAAATTTCAGTAGACAAATCTAGCATATTAAAATCTGGTTTTTCTTTATAAAAATAAAAATCAAGCTTTATATTACGAAAAACTTGGTTTTGTGAAATAAGTCGATGTTATCTATCAAATCATCTCTTGCTCTTATCTGATATTTTAATTAAACCATATGTATACCTAGATGTGCTCAAATGCAAATCTCAATTCAGCCAGTCTAGAGTCAGATGAGTCGAATTTCGATGAACATTACTTGCTTTTATTATCTAGTTTGGACCTTATTGAATATCATAAAATATTCTTTCTCATAGATAAAATTCTTCGAGAAATGTTTATAATAATCAACTATGAAAAAGATGCGATTCTCTTACAAAATTTCTAGAAGTATGTATTCAAACAAAGATGAATAATAGATGATTGATTTGTCATAAGTATTTTTCTCTGTGTTTGCATATTATTACAGTCACATCTAAAAAAAATTGAAAGACATTTGATCACGTTTTGTATTTCTTCTGAATTTATTAGGTGATCGCCTTTCATAACTGACAACGATAAAAACAACATTAGAAAAATTTCTGAAATACAGCTTTGCGTGTATTACATGTTACAATCATCAAATGGATTCCTTTTTACCACTTAATACAATACCGATAATATCCATTAACATTTTGTATATGCTTCGTAATTTCGTTCACAGGAAAGTAAATGTTAAGTGTAAACCTGAAAAAACAAAAATAATAGATTCTGTAAGAAAACATGACAAGTATTAAAAGTAATCAATCTACTCACTTAGTTAAATAGTGAGTGAAAGAGAACATTCAGATGTGTTTTTGTGCTTGTTGAGTTGTAGTTTTTGACAATATATGTTCATATACAGTGAGTTTTTGAAATTGAGTAAGCGAAAACACCACTCTTCTTAATATTCTGAATCCTAACTATAATATCCAGAACGTAAGTTAATGACTAATTAATAGTATGACATCGACTTCAATTCTACATGCAACTGAAAAAAAACAGTTGAGTTCTTTAATCAACAATTTCTTGAAACAACAAAAGTCTACTTCTTTGAGTTATAGACAACAGTCTTACACGATAAACTTTTCAGTGTCTTGAAATCCTGCCCGAAGTTTTTGACTATAAAAGCATATGAAAATGAGTGATACTATGTAAACTCTAATTTATGTTCTTATGAACAAAAAAAATATTTGAATTTTGTTAGAAATGATTAGGATAGACAAAAAGTACCTCAGAAGTATGTAAAATTTGGAACAGTGTCTTGTTTGTGTTGTCTTATTCCTGTTTGTCCCATTCCAAAAAAAAACTTGTGAAGAAGAATCTACTTGGTTTTATGAAATGAAAGAAATAGAAATCAGAACTGTTTCACATGCATCTACTAAATACTCACCATTATTGTTCTTTATTAAACTCACGTTTTTTTTTGTTTTTTCTAAAATAGTCAAATAGTAAACTATCCATCAATGGTTAAACATACGCAAGTCGATCTATTTCCTAATGATCATAATAGAGCTCAATTATCGACACCTCGTTCCATCCATGTTGATGTTGATCAGTTACCTCAAGCTAAACGTTTTCGGTTCGTAAACAGCTATGTATTATAATGTGTAGAAATTTTCATTTAACGTAGAGGACTTGGTTCAATCAAATGGTCTCTTGGTGTAGCGATAATATGTCTTTTTGCAGCAGCTGTATCTGTGCCTTTTGTCATCACACTGGATGTGATAACAACGACTACAACTACTACTTCTACCTCAACAACATCAACTACGAGCACATCAACTACATCCACAACAACAACATCAACAACATCCACAACAACAACTACTACCACAACCACAACATCAACAACAACAACATCAACAACATCAACAACAACAACATCAACAACATCGACAACAACAACATCAACAACATCAACAACATCGACAACAACAACATCAACAACATCGACAACAACAACATCAACAACATCGACAACAAGAACAACTAGCACGTCGACAACATCAACTAGCACATCCACATCGACTACCTCAACAACGACAACGACAACATCAACTACTACTAGTCAGACAACGCCGACAAGTAATTAAAGATCATATTAAAAGCTAAGATTTATGCTAGAATATAATATTTGAATTTTAGCAACAGTAGCATGTGCTTCTGGTTATTCGAGATCTCCATCAGGAACATGTGTTAATCTTCAAATCGATTTTAATAATTGTGGTTCATTTGGTTATGTATGTGCTTCATCATATACTAGTTGTTCAGCAGGTGTATGTAGTAGTGCACCTGCAGTACAACTTGTTGGTGCTATTGCTATACCAGGATGGGGTGGTCAATATTCAGTGGATGATAATTATGTTACACTTACCCTACCAATGAGTTTAACGATGTATGGATATTCGACACCAACTGTATCCGTTACAACTAATGGTGTAAGTTGTCTTTAATCCATTTTGAAAAATGGATTTAACAGAAAATAAAAGGAATGTCATTCATATTTAGGTTCTTTGTCTTGGTAGTTGTTCTGCTGATTATACAAATGGAAATCTTCCAAGTGGTAGCTTTGGAGGACCAACAGCTTTTGGTTATTGGGATGATCTTATGATTTATTCTGGTACATCCCAAAGTGTCTATTATAGTGTTGCTGGAACAGCACCTAATCGATTAGCAACATTTGAATATTATACAAGTCATTATGGTCAATCAACTCAATATTATCATTTTCAAATTTTATTTTATGAAAATTTACCTGGTATTGTCAAATATATTTATTTTCAAGCATCTGATGGAGGTTCATCAGCTACGATTGGTGTACAGAGTAAATGATATTTTTTCGTTATTTTTCTTTTCTATTATTATCAATTTTAATATTTCATTTGAATTTTAGGTTCACCTAGTGGATCTACTATGACTTATTCAGTTAATCAAGCAAATTCAGTGACAAATAATATGGTATTAACTTTTGACACCAATGCTGGTACATATTCAGGATAGATGACAATCAATAGATTGACGTAATGTCTAATAGATATTGCATGCTCTTTTTCTTGAATATTTGACTTGTTCATTTTTTTCGACAAATCTCTTCTATTTCAATTTTCGACTCTTACATTTTTTTCTCATATGAATAAAAACTAATAAATAAAATGAAATCATTATTATATTAAATTATCGATATAAAATCTTTTCTGTTTTATTTTATTCCAACATCATTGATACAATGATCAGGTCTTAAAATCAGGCTATTCTTCGATAGACTGATTCAATTCGTAGCAAGCTTAGACATGTGTTTTTCTCATCTAATTCGATCTCTATTCTACACAATTTTATATATGAAATGAAGTGTATTATTGAACTGATGAAATACTTTGTTTTTATTTATTGACTGAATAAAACTTACAAAACATTTGCAAAGGCAAGTTTCCTGATTTTTATCAGTTGCAAGATGCATAAGTCTAGATTGAAGAAAGAAATAAAATTCGAATCGGATGGCTGTCTAGCTAAAAATCTCTTTCGACTAGGTTGAACTATATATTTCGAAATCCGATATTAATATTACTTTTATAACATATTGTTTTTGAACAATTAATATAACGATTAGTTTTTCAAGAGAGAGAAAAATAAATATTTGAATAACTAGTCTATGATTCAAACAAAATCAATTGATGAATTTGTCTTTTTCGAAGTTCGTTCATCTAGCATGAGTACAGTATTTGTTGGTTTATATGTATACTTGTTTTCATAGTCGTTAAATTAACAATAATTTTTTCACTTGACTATTAACGAATATTTCATTTTTGATAAAAATATATCAATAAAATTGAGTCTATGGTAAAAAAAGCTGTTAGCACAATCTTATCAGAATTAAGATGCAAAACACGATGTAACTGCTCTTGTTAATCACAAGAAGATTGTCTTATTCATAAGACATTATTGATATGTGGTTTGTGATCGTATATCAACAACATCTGTCATGGTCTATAACCCAGAAGGGAGAAGCATTGCTAATATGTCAGCGATGAGCCATTTCTAACGTGTCTATCGATCCTCTGTTATGGTCTGCAGTGTTTCCATGGTAATATCTATAATGAGCTGTAAGAGGCAGGGGTTGCAAATTTCTACGCTATATATGTCAACATATCTTTTAGATTGTGCTTCACAGAAAAAATAAAATATCTGCTATAGAAAGATCTATGAATTTAACGTATTATGAAATATTTTGAGAGCAATAGATGGAATAACTGGTTGCAATATTGAAAAATCAATTAAATGTTTTGCAAAAAATTTGATAAGATAAACATAATTGCGATAAAAAGAAACCATTTTAAATCAAAAATTAAATAACAAAATTATATTGTTTTGAATAGTTTAGTACGATCATTACAATGATGATTCATATAAGTAATGTATACATGCAAAAGAAAGGTAAACATAACCTCTTATCTTCACATACTTTTTTTATAGCAAGTTGTTTAAGATATAAAAAAAAATGTCTTATTATCAATTCATATAATGACTTCATACTGTTTTTTGGATCAATTTCCTGTCGAAATACTACATATTGTATTTAATTATATATCTGTTTTTGAACTTTATTATAATTTATATAATGTAAGTGATTATATTAATACTGTTCTACTCAATTACCCTATCAGTTTAATTAATTTAAAATCATCTGTTCAATATCATGTTGATTTTATTTGTCATTATATAAAACCTGATCAAATTATTTCACTTACACTTTTTGATAATATTGATAATAATGGTCAATCAGAACTTTTCTTTTCTCATTTTCATATTGAACAATTTATTCAACTTCAATCATTAACTTTAATTAATATTGAAAATAATTTATTAAAATTTCTATTACCAAATTTAAATAAACTTAAATATTTACGTTCATTTTCATTTGATACTACAGACTATTATCGAATGATTAATAAAGATTATAGATTACAATTTACACAACTTAAATCAATTCTATTGAATACTTGTACAAATTTATTATCACAATTAAATCAATTAATTTTATTTGATGTTCAAGAAATGACATTAAAATCATTGTCTCATCTTCAGCGTTTGAAAATTTCAGAATGTTCAACAACAGAATTACAAAAGATCTGTTCTGAAATGTCACAATTGAAATCATTCGATGTTTGTTTACAAGGTGATCCAATATATATTCAAGTTCTTTCTTCTTTATCAAAATTAACTCGACTTATTTTGAAAATTGATGGTAAAAAAAAAATTTTCTTTTCTTTTTCTTTTTGTCACTATAAACGAAATTCTCTTCTAGTCTTTAAAAATAAATTTATATCAATGGATTTCATTGAACAATTTCTACCAAATTTATTTCAATTAAAACATTTCGAATTTCAAACTGATAATGGTGATCATTTTGATGATGGAAAACGATGGGAAAAATTAACTAAATCTTTTATTACATTTAATTTTAAATTCAAAATAAAATATTTATTTAAAGGTTTAGATTCATTTCGTACATCATTTTGGCTTGAAGAAAAACATTGGTGTGTCATTTATCATAATGAAGATTTATATACTATTCCTCGTTTTGCTCCAGTAAAATGTTATATTAGTAATCTATTATTTATCAATTCAAACACACCGAATTATACTATTTTCTATGAACGTATAACTAAATTGATAGTATCAACAGAGTTCTTTAATGAAAATCATTATTTTCCTAATGTAAAAACTTTAAAAATGAATTGTTTGGTTTCAATTGAAAGACTTTCCAATATAATTAATCTAAATAAAGTAAAACATTTAATTTTATCATCAGAAAGTAGTATATCAATGTTTTTATTGGCACTATCTGTAATGCCTCATCTCAATGAATTAACAATTAGAGGATATTTAGTACCAATTTTAATTAAAGAATTACAAGATAATATTATCAAACAAATACGAATTCTTAATTTACATTTTTGTTATTTTGAAAAAGAATCTATTACTAAAATTTTATGTTATCATTTTCCTTATATTCAATATTTAAATATATCACTTATTAATTCAATAAAAGATATTATTTTTTTTATTCAACAATTAAAATATTTATTAAATGCATCATTTGGTATGAATTCATTATTTAAAAAAGATAAAGATAAAAATTGTCAAGAATTACAAATGGCTATTGATAAAAAATATACATGTCAAATTGTTCATATAACAAATCAAAATGCATTATCATTTGTTCATATATGGGATAATGAATATGTAAGTTTTATTTTGTATAATAAAACTATTGTTTCTTATTATACTTATATTACTTTTTTTTTAGCAAACTTTATCTTCATTCCTTGCAACACTATTATGATCGTTTAAATAAGAATATAAAATTTTTAATTTAAATTGAAATCATTGATGTACTTTGAATTATACAAGAACATATGAAGATTTATATAATTTTATTTTTTTATTTGTTAAATAAATATAAAACAAAATTGTATCGATATAAGTCATATTAATTAAGTGTTGATGATTCTTTGAAATGAATTTTCATAGAATAATAACGTTTTGAACGTGTAGGATTTATATAAAATGGGGAAACTTGATCTAATTACTATCAACGTCAAAATATAATGAACCTCGATATTTTTTAAACAATTAACACTCGTCCTTACGACTCGCTTGACTCTCGACTGAATCCAATTTAATTATTATCAATCATTTCCTCCTGAGATTTTCCCAAGTGAACTTTAAGAGGCAGCTCGCAGCCAGTCGTCTGCGTCCATACAAGCCGCCACTCGTGACTGCTCGATTTCGTATATGATACAGGTATAATTTAAAATAGTCCTTCATTTTCTTGTAAACCTTTGGCTGCAGGTTTTTTGAGAAATCGTTAATGTTTCTAAGCATCGCACACAGCAACCGACATTTCTTTCACATTTTCCTGTAAGACTTTCTTCGTTGAACTTCTGCTTTCTTGCTACTACAATAAGCACGTCTTCTTCTTATTCCTTTCACAGGCAAATACATTTCACTGTCAAAATTAAGGATAGTTTTTGATGATGCTAGATTAGACTTATTTTTAGAAGGAGGTCTTCCACGGCTTACTCATTCATTGCCGGAGCAGAGAGACTTCGCCACTGAAACCAAAATGATATGCTTTAAGAATTCAAGAACAACGTAAATTCGTCAATGAAAACGGGAATATATATATATATACCCAATAGAGAATGAGAATATTCTCGAGAAACAAAAGATTAGAGGAGAAGACAGAAATTATGATCTAACTGAACCTTAGCAGCAAGAACAAAGGTTATTTGAAAAGAATTTATATGACAGAAGGAAAGAAACAAAAGAAAAATATAAGACGACAGATGCGATTGTCTATGACCTTAATGACCTTGCATATTTAATAGTTTTATGTAAACTAAACACTTTTTTCTCTACTGAAAAAATAGGTAGGACAACGTATGTCCCACGGTTCCCAAAGGGTTAAAGAAAAGTGACCAGTCCACACATCAAGAGTTTTTGAGAGATTGTCATGATAACCGTTTAAGGGTACCCCTCCTCTTTTTTGAACATATCCAGTTCTCAACAAGAGTAAGATCAATCGAGCTGAAACTTTCACCACATCTAGAGCATAGAAAATGATGAGAATCGGCCCCAATATGACTCCTCTCTAAGTTTGTCCGATAGGTGTGAAAATTTTACCACAGATACTTGTAAGTGTCCTCTAGAGGTGTTTTTGATCGTTGCCAATTCTGACTATTTTTTGCAGACTTACAGGATTTTCAATGTCATGAATTGACTTGCCAGGAAGGAGACGCCAGTATTTTTTGAATAAACCAAAAAGAAAGCGAGATTTTTAAAAATCCTTGAAAACATCTCTGAGATATTGTCTCAGCTACATAGCTGCCACCTTTTCTACTTTTTGAAGTTTTTTCTGTCGTTTCTGCTGTTTTTGATACGGCATTATTTACTATTTCAATCAACATTTTTCATCTGAAATACTTTTGTTTCCATAATTATTTAAAAAACCGTATCAAAAGCTACTGATATTTTTATGCTATTCTAATTCTTTCTATTTGATACAGATAATTTTTACTTTCTACTGACTACAAACAACTACCAACCTATATATTAGGCTTTAAATCAATTTTTTACATATGGTTTTCTATTGTATTTTAATTACTCATGTAATTCATATACATCAATATATACATTCTTTAGTTTGTTTACTCAATGAACATGAATAATTAATATAATTAGTGAGAGGAAGGGAACACAAAAAATAGCTCTAGATGATAATGACAGCTCGACTAGCCAAGTAGGTATTAACAAAACAGTGGTAGTTGCTGAAGTAATAATTATGTCATCAGGAGTTAAACCAAAAAACAGAATTTGAATAGAGTTATCTTCAACAGAGAATAGTTCAAAGTCGTCGAATATTAATGATCTTTAAAAGAATATAAATTTGATCCGTCTCAACTAACATTTATCGTTCGTCATCAATAATTTTCTGAACATTGCTAATAAAAAGCTAATATTGATAATCCTATGAACAATAAGAAACAAAAAAATTTTATATGCTACAATTTAATCAACAATTATTTTGAATTTCTCCTTATCATATACTGTAATGGATAAATAGTTATTAGGTAAAAAAGATTTGTCAAAAGCTCTTAAATCAGATGAAGAATACTCTTTAAAAAGAAAACGTGTTCAAAGATTCTGTCTATTTGTTGATTAGTTGTGTTTTGTGATGCCACACAATGCAAGTGATTAGTATACTGAGACTAAATTTTAAAACTAACGGGTAGCTCGTAATAAAAGAGAGTCTCAGTATTTTGTTAACATCTTAAGTGTTATCTTATCGCTCACGCTTTATTTTTTTATCAAAAGATTCACCGTCTTGTTCTACAGAATTTGGTATATTTCGCTGTAAAAAACACTTATCTCTCTTTCAACATCATCATGAGTTAAAATAAGCATTACATAGAACTTTCAAAGTCTTCCTTTTTTCAATTTTTTTCCAAAATATCCAGTATCTCAATTAATCCTGTTACTTTGGGTATAATTTGTTCGTCACTCAAGAGATAAATTGGTTCATTTCAATCAACTTACCAAAGGCAATTTATTTTATTTCTGAATAAAGAATATGGCACGACCAATGATAATTAGACTAATCTAAGGACTGGATGTTTTCGGAAAAAATAGGGATTTTGAAAGTTGTGTGTAGTGCTGTTTTTAAATCGTGGTGATGTCGAAAGAGAAAGAAATAAGCATTTTTACAACGAAATACGCAATTTGTGCAGAAGCAGATGGTAAATCTTTTGATAAAAAAATAAAGTGTGAGCGATAAGATAACGCTTAAGATGTTAACAAACTACTGAGACTCTCTTTTATTACGAGCTACCCGTTAGTTTCATATTATAAACATACTTTCTACTATCTTTCTGCTTTTCTGACTTCAAAAGGTGGTAGCACTGCTCAGCTACTACCTAACAAAATTTCAGCCTTATATGATGAAAATCGATGGGAGTCAAAATGGGATCCGATGGAAACCTTTGAAAACAGACAGTTTTCTCAGAATATCCTTAAAAACACGCTTTTCAACTAATTCCTCGAACATGAGTCTCATCATTTTCTGTGCTCTAAATGTGGTAAAAGTTTCAGTTCGATTGGCCTTAATCTCGTTGAGAACTGGATATGATCAAACAAGAGGAGGATACCCTTAACTAAAACAACTATAAGGTCATCATGATAATCTCGCGTCCAATTTTGAAGCATTGAATTGTCGCTGTTTTCTTAAATAGATGGCTTAACATAATAACTCGAAAGTAGAGTAATGCGTGAGAATAAAATATAGAAATAAAAAGCTACGCAAACGCGAACAGAAATTATTAATAGACGGAAAAGATGAAAGAATCTTGTGGCTAGAAGAAAAAAAAACGTCGTTTGAACGTGTTTAATGTTCATGAATTCATCAAAATTGTTTTTTTTGTCCTGAGATAGTTTGTCTGTTGTGTGGATCGTTCAGAGTTGTGTCACTGAACAAGTTGCATCATCCAATCATCCAAGGGGGCAAAAGCGGATCCTAGATCCTTGGATCCTAGTGGCTCCTGTGGATCCTGATGGATCCTGTTGGATCCTGATGGATCCTGATGGATCCTGTTGGATCCTAATGGATCCTGTTGGATCCTAATGGATCCTGTTGGATCCTAATGGATCCTGTTGGATCCTAATGGATCCTGTTGGATCCTAATGGATCCTGTTGGATCCGCTTTTCCCCCCTTGCAATCATCACTGATGATCGCTCAACACATGCCTTTGATTCTGATGAACCTGTAGTGTGATAAAGAGATGCCGAGCTTTTTCTGACATTTTATTCGGAAAAATCAATTTTTTTTATAAAGAACATGAAATTTATCCGTTGCTTCATTTGTATGCTCTTTAATACGATTCATCATCATCGCGTCGATACTCCTTGAATTTGCTGTTACTTTCTATAATATACGATCCATAGAGTATCGGGTCGTATTTCAGAGTTCCTCCTGCAGTCGGTATTGGTACAATGGGTGTTGAACAGCACGGTTCCAAAAAGAATGGAATTGAAAAACGTTCTTCTTTCAGTAACTTAACTCGATGCTTTACTGCCTTCAAACATCCATTTGTCCATCGTTCTAAACATCTACCGGTGTTTACAACCAAAGCGTACGGTACGACCGGCACATCAGCCCATGTACCATTTTCTAACTGAATTTGTAGGCCACCAACATCATGTTGATACAAAATCGTAAGTAGACACCCATCGCAGTGCTCTTCACACGACAAAGGTTCACCATCATCAGCACCTATCGATACAGGAGTTGGATTGTCTAGTTGTGGATAGTAATTGAGACGAAAGGTAGAAACAGTTCCAGCACCACCGGATGAACGATCATCGAGGAATTTATCAAAATAGGAAGCGTCCAAGTCAAAGGCACGTGCCACTGCACGCAATAATTCGAGTGAAATATGCCCTGCAAAAAAAAAATATTCCGTTTGTTTCAAGAGACTTCTGTAATTTTGAGGGTTTTTTAAACAATTACAGTGTATTTAATACCTGACATCGTAGACTTTGCTGTTTTCCAAAAGTTATACGCAAAATGAAAATAAATATTAGGTTTATCATCAGATTTTTAGAGTTTTCATCTTTTCAAATTTTCTCTTTGTCATGATGAATGCAGCCGTCAAAACTTTGAACTTACACATTTCATCCCAATATTGAGTCAATACTCCATGCATTGAATATTGATTCAGTTCGTGTAATGGGTTACCGTTTTTAACAAGTTCATGTTCTGGATTCATATATGGTGAAGATAAATCTAGGCCCTCTTTTCCATTGACTGATGATGGAAAATAACCACGATACTGATTCGAATTCGATGGATTCCATTTATGCACAGCATAACGTTGTTTTTCTTCTGATGATTGAGCAAAGAAACGTCGAGCTTCAATGATCAATTTATCAAACAGTCGCTCATCGATTCCATGACCAATCATTTGGAAGAACCCTACCGTTTCACAAGCACGACGAATCGCTTGAGATACATCGAATTTCGCCTGTTCGTTAGATGATGACACTAATGGAGAAACGTCAATAACGGGAATAAGACTCATGAATACGCTTGTATAATATAACTGATGCAAAAGAAGAAAGATAACGACACATTAGCTAACCAGTACTATTAGATAAGGAGACAATTTGGAAGCCAAAGTCAACACAGATTCTTGTAATAAAACATAGAAAGGTAGTTGACGATTTTAGTCCATGCTGATCAATTTGGCCGTCGGAAACAAGCAAATTTCATTGAAACTGATCGGCAAGATGTGGGACAGTCATCGCATCCGGCAGCACAACACCAAAAAATCAACCAAACGTGAACACAGAATTTCGGATCGATATTTCTCCGGATTTTTCTGGTAAATATTGACCGTCTTCCTTCAGAAAGAACAAGAAGTTGGTCGGAAGTCACTGAAAAAACCCGAAGACTCTCCAGCTTCGAACACTACGTACAAGTTCTATTCATTTGTGATGTTTTCCTATAGAAATCAGTGCATATGTTATCTCCGCAGAAAACATTGCACGATAGGCACGACACACGTCGCTTGGGTGTGGGTGTATGGGCCCGTGGGTGCGTGCAGGTGCGGATGTGCACGTGAGTGATCACAAGATTGATATCCTCACGCACACCAACCCACACCCCATAGCCACACCCATACCATGGTACATCTTACAACATATTTCTGTAAGCGAAAATAGGACATAGGTTTTGAATGGGCATATCAATAAACTTACCAAATAATGAAACAATAGTATGGACATTTATTTTATGCACCTAATATAATATCTGTTAACTACAAAAGCAGTGCGTGTATCGAAAGAAAATATCTAATAAATATTTTTTCATGGTAACGGATACGCTTTCGATATTATTAATACGTTTGGGATTAATTGTTGTTATAAATTATAATTAGTAAAAGTGACGGGACAAAATTGTGGATTAACAGCAGTTGACCGCCAGTCAATCGTCGGTTAACTGACGATTTTGATTAAAACCATTGGTCACCGATGGTTTTTTCAAAATCACCGATTACCGTCGGTTTTCATTTAAAAAAAGGGCGACATGAGTTGATACTATTGTATTAAGAAATGTTTTAATAAGTACAATACTCGTTGTAGTAAACTATTATAAATGAAATTTTTTATGAAATGTTGATGTTTTGTTCTATTCAACTAACAGTTGTATTGACAGTAGTGATTGAAATATCTCGTGTTGAGGCTGTACCAATTGTTAATGAAGTAGTTGTTACTGATGAAAGATCCGAAATTCGAAATATCAAATGTCTAAAAAGTACAATCACTTATAGGTGATGATCCAAGTCCTGTAACATATTTATCCAATGGAATACATATTTTAATTCAATACTTACTTATCATAAAATTTTGTAGTAGTTACCATATATATATCATCATAATAAAGATTTTATTGATGAAAAATGACATATTCTTGTCAATATCTAATGTGATATAATATTAATGCCTGGGAATCTAAGCTGGAAATGAAATGTAGAAAATCATTTTTCTAACAGTATACAATACAATTGGATGTTAACCACAATCCATTGAATAAAAAAATTACACCGATTGTTATATCATTGAATTATACATATGTACCATTTCGTATCTGATGATTTACTTGTCTTGAATAGTTGTTGTTCGAATTAAATTAGGTAATTCAAAATCAAGTAAGAATGTAATATGCTATTTAGCTAAGAAAAAGTTTATATAAATCTACCAACAAGATCTAAGTTTTAAAACTAAACGAATAAGATTGACAAGTCTGAGTCGAGATTTATAATATAGTACTTTTTTCTCATATAAACAAGAGAACTTGCTATAAAATGAGCGATAATTTTTTTTTGAACAATTAAAAGTACGTCTTAAAATTTGATTTTTTTTTCGAAATTTGTTTTAATTTCATGATGATGTGTTCTCTTGTTTTTTTTATATAGTATAGACTGATATGAATGGGTCACATATTAATCATTATAATATTCTAGTGGTCCTCTATCTATACTGTATATCTTAGGCTTTTATCATTTGGTATATGTGTATATATAATTTCAAGTGTAGTCATTTTCACACTAAAATTAAACGTTTGATTTTCATTTGTATATTCAATATTTGTTTAACATATTTATGATACGGTACATACACAGGACACCATGTACTAACATACTCCAGGCGATAACTTTTTATATTATGCTTTCTTTCTTGTATTATGAAAGATAGAGTTCACCTTGTTGGTATAGAATCCATAGTCACTACACCAACAAGTGAACTCTATACAAACGATAAATGTCTAAGATATGCAGTATAGATAGAGAACTACTAGAGCATTATAATGACAAATGTGTGACCCATTCATATCAGTCTACACTATATAAAAAAAACAAGAGAGCACATCATCATGAAATAAAAATATTTTATGACGCACTTTTAATTATTCGGACTATAGTAGTAAGAAACTTGTGAGATCAATATTTGTGAAGATTACAGCTACTTTCAGTTAGTAATGATAGCAGTCCATGCATATTATCAGTTCAACGATTCCTAGTTCATTAGATATTACACATTTTTAATCATGATACTTTCATACATTAATTATATATGCGTCATTCTTACGTGTATGATTTTGACTAATAGATGGTGTCTAACTGCGATGTTTTTTGTTCTTCCTGTATGCAAGCACGTTTTGTTCACAAAAGGTAACGCCCATAACTTGTTCTTATAATTGATTTTTCTTTTTGTTTCGTTTAGACATGTACACGTTGGGAAGGTCGAAATCTAAAATAAATGTCGTAAAGATCAAATCATATAAAAGTAATAAAATTGACCTTTAGTCAAATGATATGATTTTTCTTTTGTTAAATTATTCGATCATTTAGAATTCTTTGAAATTAATTTGTAGTTTTGGAAATAAAGTTTGAATCCAATTTATGCCTCGTGTTTGTTTATTTGATCTATTACCTGTTGAATTATTACAAATGTTATTTAATTACTTTTTAGCACATGAAATTTTTCTTAGTTTTTCTGATATTAGTGATTATGTTAATGATGCTCTACGTTCTTATTTTAAATATCAATTGGATTTAAAATCAATAGAAAAATCTCAATTGAATTTTGTTTACCATCGTATTCGACCTGAACAAATTATTTCATTAACACTCTCTCATGACAATGATGTATCTCATTTATCTATGAATTTCTTATCTGTTTTTCGACTTGAACAATTCATTCGATTACGATCAATTACATTCATTGATATCAAATATGAATTCATAGAACCAATTTTTAATGATTTACATAAACTATTGGAATTACATTCGCTTTCATTTGATATTGAAAAGATAAAATATAAATATGAAATATTCAATATTAATTTTTCAACAAAATTCAATCGATTAAATTCGTTTTTATATAATGTATTCACTCAAATACTACCTCGACTAACGTGTATACATTTAAACAATGGAAATCTTTTGAAATCGATATCATTACCTTATCTTCATCATTTAAAACTTAAAAAATGTTCACTTGATCAATTTGAAGGAATTTTTCAATATGCACCACAACTTAAATCACTTGATGTTTGTCTACGATTTGAGAATCAATTTTCTCAGATCATCATATCATCATCTCAATTAATTCGATTTAGTCTAACAATTGAGAGTAAGTTTTATTAGATTTTATTCAAATAAACTTTCGATGATGACAGTTATAAACTTTTTAAATTTAATAAATATAGCTTAATTTAAGTCACAGTACAAAGTCTATGATTAGCATAGGCTGTCATTAAATAGAGGATGACGACTATTCGAATTTATTTTAATCAGTTCAGACAGTATTGAGAATTTGAATAACAGACCCAAACGTTTTTTGAGGTACAAGGGGAAATCATGAAAGCATTCTAAGATTCGATTAAGTTCGGGTTCAAGTATTTTTGAAGATTGTTGGCTGTTTTTTACTACATCTGCAGCAGAAATGGCCATCGCCGCTGCCGCGATGGACATCTCTGGTCTGCAGATGTTCGATTTTTGGATCATTTATTCTACTGTGTGTAGATCTACCACAGACACGCGTCAAATCCTTTCTTTTATTAATTGAATGAAAATGATTGCCGAACGTTCTGATTCGGTGCGTGCCTATTACAACTGTGATTCAGTTAGTTGCAGTATTCTTTTGAGTGAATAAGCCGTAGGTTTTTGCTTTAAATTGATCATTTATAAAAAGTATTGAATGATATTAAAGTTTTTTTCTTTCTATCCATGTGTTGGTATATAAGAAATTAGGATATAAGATTTAAATATTTAGCATAGATACATTTATTTTATCATATTATTCATATATTGAAACTTTGATTCTTTTGATCTGATAAGAATTGAGGAAACAAAAATTTCCATTATATAGAAATGTAGTTGCTATTGATTATTTGTCTATTAAATAGATTATTCTATATCAATGAATCAATTGAAGCAAATGCTACTAAATTTACCTTATCTCAAATATTTTGAAGTGAATGCTAATGGTAGAAATCTTGCTGATGGACAGCAATGGCAAATATTAACTAGAAATCTTATTACATTTAATTTTAAATTTAATACAGATCTTGATCGAAATGAACTAGATCTACATTCATTTCGTACACAATATTGGCTCGAAGAAAAATGTTGGTTTGTAGCATATCAAAATAATTGTCTATTTTCAGTTCCTCGAATTGTATCAACTCACGTCATAATATCTTCTTCTACATATGTCTATACTACAGCATCGGATATAACATATATCAATGAGAATATAAAGAAATTGATTGTCAAAGCAATACCTATTCAAAATCAAATTCGATATACAGATATTGAAATATTAAATCTTCAATGTTCAATTTCATATGAAGAACTTATGTTTATTATAGATTTAAGACAAGTAAAACATTTATTTATATTATCATTAGATGATCTATTAAAATTTATACCACTCGAACAAATACTTCCTTGTATAAGTAAATTAACAATCTTAAATGATTTGACTATGAATATGATTAAACAAATGAGATATTATCAATTTGAACAGATTCATGAACTTGATATAAGTCTTAGTTATGAAAACAAAAACTATATCATGAAAGAAATAGTTTATATATTTCCATTTATTAAACAAATTTCATATAGAAATTATATTCATTCAATACAAGATATAGTTCATTTTATTTATGGATTTAGATATTTACGAAGTACATATTTTTATACTTATTTGATATTTCCTAATATCGAACGAAATATTTATCTCAATCGAAAATTTCCTATTGATATTACCTGGCAACTTCTTGAAGATAATGATTTTTTATATCATATTTTTTCTTCATCCAATTGTAAATCAATTAAAATTTCAGTGAGATTAACTTTTACAATGTAGATATTAATCTATCATCATCTTTTCATTATTTTTAGATGCATCAATCAACTGAAAATACTCATTGGTTACGACAATTCGAATACTTATGGCAATATTTGATATATATTTTAATTCGAAATCTAGAACGATTATCAAATATAATACTGAGACCTTTTGTTTTCTTAAACATTATCCAATATATATTCTATGTAATAATTTGCTATTTCTTTCTATTTTATTATGTATATTATTTTCTTTAATTTATTTTCCAAGTACATGTATTACATATTTGTTCTAACTGTTTGGCTATTTTGCAGCAAAATTGTTTGGAATTTGGTTTTTATTCATTATCTTTCATAAATAAAGAGAAGTACATATTTTATTTTTTCATTCTCTGCAAGTCTTATATAACTTCATTTTACTAATACAAAATACGTTAAATTGAACAGAATTTTATTCTTTTTTTATTAGTTTTGTTGCTGTTCGTTCGTTATTTATTTTCTTTTTATTATTATTATGATACTACTTACCATTGATAACCTCAGAAACACTGGTTTTGATTATTTTCGAAAGTTAGAACTTGGTCAGTTCGTATTGGTGTAACTGTAGCAAATCAATATATCACTAGCTCTATGATATAGTGACCTTTCTGCGCAAAAATTCGACGCCGTCCTATTCAGGGAAGGCTTTGACATGCTCTAGAACTCTCTAATCTTAACTGTTAAAGTAGTTCTGCATCTTTTCTTGGTTGCTAATGTATCACGCAGAATCATTCTAGTCCTCGTCTGCTATGGAAACGTAGTCAATAACCTTTGATGTGGTAACTAAAGCCTTGCGAGGAGGAGAAGAAGAAGAATCACCAAAATCTCGATTTTAACCTACACTTACTATTTTTCTTCGAAAAAACAGAATGTAAGTTCCACAATAAATAATTACCAGCCTTCCATCAATATATTTGGTGACACTTCTACAAAATTTAGTTTGTGATATTCAAGTTCGATGCTTAGTTTGTTAATTATTATTCTTTTTTTAATTCATACAACTTCACACGTTACTCATACACACAATACAGTATCATACGTATGTACATACTCCGAATTAACCCATTAAGGCCCAGTGGGATATGTATTTCCTACGTCGAAAATTTTCAAATCTTCGAGCTTCTGAGAATCTTAGAGAAATATTTTCAACAAATGTTGGAGGCTGGGAGAGATCCACACAAGACTACATGGATGATACAATATGTGAAGAACATTAAAAAGTCTGTTACGTCATGTTTCTTTAATACAAAGATGGAAGTATACAATAAATTCCCTGTCTATTAGTTATAGTTCAGTACAACAAGTATATAGGAGGAGTCGATTTGTCTGATTAGAAAAAAAAATGCTATGCAACCGATCGAAAGTCAAAGAGAAACTGGATAAGGATATTTTTGCATTTTCTAAATATGTCATTAGTAAATTCATTCATTTATTATAAACACTTCGTTCCTTCTAATATTAGTGCATTAGAATATACAGGGTGGCGCAAAAGCCATTTTATCGAAAAACAAAAAATTGGATATCTCCACTATGGCTTCAGCAGACGAGCTGATTTTTTTATCAATGATAGAAGTATGCTTAAGCTTTATAACTTGTAACTTTTGTTGTGTTAGTTTGTGTATAAAAAATTGTTTTTTTTATTGTATCATGAAAACTACGTGTTTTAATAATGAAATAAATAAATGTTTCAGTAAATATAGTAACATTTTTTTTAATTAAAATGCAACTATAACAAAAATATTTTTATTTTTATATAATCGTTTGCTTTCTTTAATTGTAATTTAACCACTTGCTTCCAAAATATCATCTAATTACTTTACACCAAGTTTCATGAAATTTGCTTCAGTAGAAAAAATTCGGACCTCAAAGGGTTAAATGATTAATCTTCTTGAGAGTATTAATTAGAATAATTATCTATTTTTATATTTAACTTTGTTCGTTAAGAAGATCTCAATTAGTATGCAAAAGCTTTATTTTCATCTTTAATAAATATTTAGAAAAAATCTGATGTGTTAAGTTATTTTGCTTGATTTTTGTCAGAAGCATAATTTTAATGATTTTCATCTCATTCAGATATTTAATATTTTACAATAAAATATCTCTTTAATATACTTTTTATTGATATCCATCGAAAAAGAAAATATTTTGATGATTGATAAAACTATTTCTACTGTAAACTTATAAATAATATAAATATAAAGTCAATATATTTTTGTTTATCATATTCTTGGTGATTTCTGTGTTGTTAATATTGGTCTAGGAGGATGAGGAGGTAATGGTGGTGGTGATGATGTTCGTATAGTTATTGGTGATGGTGATGTTGTTTGAGTTGGAACAGGAGATGCAACAACAGATGTTGGACTCATTGATGTCCAAATAGTTGGATGAAGAAGTGTAGCTGTTGTAGCATGTGGATGAAATAATGTACCTGCTTGTGGTTCAAATTCTGGATTAAAACGTGATGTACCAAAAGTAAATTGATGAAGCGATGGTTGACGACTTAATGATGATTTATGAATAATTTCATTTTCATGTTGTTCTTTATATTCAAACAATCGATGTCGAATTGATGGAATAACAAATACAAAAACAAATATGGTAAATGTTATTAGAAGAATAATACAAATAGCAACTACAATTGTATTTGTTAAAATAAGACTTTCAAATGTATGTTGATTAATCATATTAGAATTGTTGAAAAAAGAAACGTTTTAGTAGTATCGAATGCTTTTAACGTTGGAATGACAAATATCGTTAACTAAATACAAATAAATGAATTTAATGTCGATCGTTTACAATGTCACTCATCACATTGAACATCTATGTGATGTCTTTGTTTTCTTTTTCAAAGTTCATCAACATTATTATAAAACAAGGTAGGACAAATCGAAGGATAGAATGTCAAATACAAACATGTATAAGATCAAATAGTTACTTATATGTTATTGAAAGTGTACATAAGACAATAAAGTAATATGATTTGAATCATGCTAACAAGATCCAGTCAAAATGAAAATTCTCTTATATTATATATAATTATAATGCACATAATCGTGTTCTCATTTTTTTTTATAGATTAATATTAAATTAAAACACCAATAAGTAGAGATAAAACAATTATTCAAATGGAATCAGTATATTTAAATTAAACATCTCCTCAAATCTATTCTCCGGTTGTCCAATGACAATTAGCCAAAATCAAGTAGTCTCAGGAAAACCCTTATAACTTTCGAAGAAAACAAGATAGAGATCTCGGCTTTGCGTAGATCGAAAGAGCCCAATTTTTCCTATCGAATGATCATGTCAAAGTTCAAAATCCAACGATGAATCTCTTCAGAATTTCGTTTCCAAAAATGCCCATCAAGAATTCACCTGATTGGTCAATTATCAATCAATCATATTTTTATATTGTTTAATAAAAACTATTATTCTCTTTTGAATGTTGAAAACTGCAGATCTCTAGTTGCTTTCATTCTCGAGTTATTCAAGTTACAACCGAGTTGGATAGTTGTTCGATCTCTTGAATGTCACAAGTAATTAGATTGCTTGCTAATGTATGAATGAATATTCTTGTTTGGTGAAATTTCTTGATATTAGTAGAAAAAATGTTCGATATATTAATTAATTTCGAATTCAATAAGTTAGTTCTCGATTTGGCGAAATGTGGAAATTATATAAAATTAAAACAGTTAAGAGATTTTGTACGATTGTAAGAATGCGTTGATTAACTGAATTACAGATGAGGGAAAGAGAATGTTCATTTTTCAAATTACTAATATAATCAATACAAACATTAGAATCATTAAATATTTCAATATTGTTACTAATGACTTGTAACTGATCGATCGTATTTATTTCTAGTGCAATGTTAAGCCAAACACTAATAAAACTTTTCATATATTATTATTTATGTTTCATATTTTTTTTCAAAGATACCAACTTCTCTTACTTTTGTTGACTTGAAAGTCATCTTGCTCAATAAGTTTTTGTTCTATGAAATAAAACTAACATACTCTTTTTTTTTCTTCTATGCAGAAACGACAACTACAATAAATTCGAACTCTTTGCGTCGTATCACTTAATGGAGTAAAAAAAAAAGTAACTCATGAAAGATGATGAAATATATTGCCTGTTTAAGTGTTTTGATAGTTTTATAAATATAAAATGTAAGTTAAGCTTTTCTTCGTTGCTTGATCAAATCTAATATATCAAAAAACAATTTCACCATGATAATGTGTTGCACGATATAAAGAAAAGAAAAAATACTGCTATATACGTCATAGAAATGCGATAAATCATTCTTTTTCTTTTATATTTATCGCGATTATAATTTCCATCGCGAAAGATAATAATTTAGATTGTCAAAAAAAAATAAATATATTACTAGCATACAGTTAATAAATATTAAGAAGAGATATAATTAAACTATTTTTGATAAATCCAAAGTCGAATAAGATATGATCGTTTCTCATCTCGACTAATCGAATATGTAGATGGTAAACGTTTTTGTAACCATTCAATAAGTTCATCATTTGTTGATGATGAATTCCAAACATTATATTCATCATCTTTACAATGACAAATTAATGTTCGAAGATTAGGTATTGCATTAATAAATTCAATAATATTTGATCGATTTTTAAAACAAATTAAAAGAACTTCACATTGAAGTATGAGTGATGAATGAATTAATAAAGAACATTCATCTGTATCAAAATATCGACTACATGATTTAGATTTAGTTATTAAATTAAGTCGACGAATTGATGGACTTATTATATTGAAAAATTTCATTGATAAATTTTTTGTATTAGATAATTTTAATGAATAAAGATTTAATGTTCGATTAAGTAAATTTTGTAATTGAGAATATGCATAATCTGTAGATAGAAATGTTATATTAATAGATATTAATTGATTTAATAATGGTATACATGACCAAAATTTTTCATCAAATGGAAAACTAATTTTTAAATGACGTATTTTTAAAAAACGAGCAGAAAAAAGTGTTAAATCTTTTGATAAATCATTTTCAGGATTTTTATGTGAAAGTATTAATACACGATCATATGACCAATAATCTTTATTTATAGGACAAGTTGATTTTGAAGAAACAGCATCAAAATAAAAACAATCATCAAATGTATATGGTAATGTATAAAGAATACCATAACTAAATATATTGAATGGATCCCAATCACATCGTACATACCATTGATGTTCGATAAGCCAAAAATCAGTTCGAAATGTATCAAGTAAATCATTTGCTTGTTTATTTATATTATCATTATTAGGAAAATTTAAATTCATTTTTAAATGAAAATTTTTAATTTTTAATAAATAATTTATAAGAATTTTTTCCCAGTCATATCCATTACAATAAATATCAAATGTTTCTAATGTTAAATAAATTAAATTTGGTAAATTTTGAAAAAGATTTATTAACATATCAATACAACCATGATATAAAATTTTTAATGAAATTATTGATATTATAGGATATTGTAATTGTTGATTAGGAAAACCATATATTAAATTAATAGAAATTTTTTTAAGATATGTTGTATATTTACATAGATAAGTTAAATCTTTAAAATCACAAGTAATTTTTCCTAAAGTTAAATATTTAATTGATGATGAAATAATATTAATATTTGTTAAACGTATTTTTCTTGATGTAATTTGATCTATAATACAATGAGTTAATTTTGGTAGATTCCATATATTATTCATTAAAGATTGTATTTCATTATCACGATAATTAAAACAACATTTAATCATATTTAAATGTGTTAAATAAAGAAGATGATTACATTGTATTATTAATTGATTAAATATATCAAATGTTTCAATATTATATAATGATAATGATTTTAAATTAATAAATTGATTAATAGTTAAATTATAAGAAAGAAATATTTTTGATAGATTTGGTGTTTCTTCATTATCAGATAAATGAAGTGAAATGATTTGATTAATAATAGATGGTAAATATTGTTGACAAAAATTTTCAAAATTATATTTAGATATAGATCGAAAATCGAGATTATATATTTTAAATTTAGTAAAAAGAAGTTTATCAAAACGATTATTAAGACCATGAAAAGCATGAAAAAGATGGATAGCATCAATATATTGAAATATATCAAGTAATAATTCATTGGCCAAACATTCGAAATACATCATTTTGTTTTGTAGTTCACATGCAAGTTTCGTGCATCAAACAAATGATTAGTAGGAAAAAAAAAATGTTTCTAGTGTTCTTTCGTTCTTCTGTTGGCTTTATAATATTTTCTTTCTTACTCAGTGAGTGCGATGACGAATAGCAAATAGACATGATACATTAATGTCGCTAATACAAAAACATAATTTTATCGGTAAAGACTATTTAATCTGATATTTTCTATTAAACACGTTTTTTTCGTTCTCATGAAATTATTCTTATTCTATCAATGTATCGAAACATACGTTGGCAAAAGTATCTTTCATTACTGATGAAAATATTTTTATAGTAGTAATGCAAATATTCATAGAACTTGAATCATCAGTGAAGTGAAATTTTTTCTTCATCTATTGATTCAATGAATCGATTTCTATAGGAAGTATTAGAATATATTTTCTCGGCATCTGAATTGACAATAGCAGTTCATTATCATTTATTAATGCAAAGCACGATCAATTATTTTATTTTCTATATAGGTCTGTATTCTCTCTGTGATAATTACAACCAGATGTATATAATAATAGAAAAAGTCGATTAATATTATTGTCGATAAAGCACGTATCAAAAGTATTATATTTATCTTTAATATTGTCTCCGGATTAGCATTTTATCTTTATCGAGACTAAATCACAATATATCCATTTTTATACATTAAGATAAATTGCGTAGCAGTCTGTCTACGACGAAAATATGTCGTCGTCTACGTGCTTATCATTCATTTACTATTTTGTTTTGCGTGTACAACTGTATATAACCGACTCAATTGTACATATTAAGCTCATACATTTACATGTCTTTTTTTTCTGAATTGTTTCTCAATTAATCATTATTCGAGAACGCGTTCAGAGATCTGATTGACTTGAGCTCGAAGAATAGGCATTACGAATTCGAGTTAAATTGATAAAGTTATAAGTATTTCAGTTTTTCGCCAAAAAAAAAATAAAGGATATGCCAAAGACAAGACTGGTACTACGTTTTCAAAATGTGTCGTAGAATATAATCCATGCGACACATTTCCAATGAGTACATGTCTAGATGAATCCATAGATGTATGTTTTATCATTTTTATAACTGGAATATTTATTCAGTTTACAGTGAAGAGCACTATATAATTTGTACAAGAAAATAATTGTTTTAACTTTTATTTTAGCGTTTAAAATCAAACTTTACTCTTATTTTCTATTGTATACGCTATAATGAGTGGCGCATAATAAATAAATCGAAATTTTTCAGTCTTTTTAGAGCATTTTGCTTTTCACTGAAGACTTTATTCTAGGCTCATTCGATAGAGAATTTTTCGCTGTACAGAACCATGTATGTTTTAAATTTTCACATCCTTTATAACCAAAAAAAAATCATGAAAAACAAAGATGTGTAAAATAGTCCACTGTGATCATAGGTGTATCGCATATTGTCATCGAATATTTGATAATTTGTCAAAACAAGCTTCTATAATCGATCGAATGACTTTTCGGAAGGTATAGAGTTATAGGGCAAACGTTTTACTCTCAGTCTATATGCAGCAAGCTCATATGTAATTAGTTATCGAATTGAAATGAAAACTTTACGAAGCGCACGAGTGTAGACAGGACATATTCTGAATTCTAACATTGCTTTCGTGAAGACCTTTGGTAAAATCACTATCGTAGCTGAATAACTGGTTGCATAAATCTTTACGAGATATCAACATGTCGTGTAACATTTGCCCTGTAACTCTATACCTTCCGAAAAGTCATTCGATCGATTATAGAAGTTTGTTTTGACAAATTATCAAATATTCGATGACAATATGCGATATACCTACGATCGCAGTGAATTATTTTACACACCTTTATTTCTCGTAGTTTTTTTATTGGTTATAAAGGATGTGAAAATTTAAAACATGTATGGTTTTATAGAGCGAAAAATTCTCTATTGAATGAGCCTAGAATGAAGTCTTCAGTGAGAAGCAAAATGCTCTAAAAAGATCGAAATATTTCGACTCATTTATTATGCGTCACTCGTTACTTTTCTTGCATAATTCAAGGTCATTGTCAGGTCCTGCGCGAAGGTTTCAAGATTGGGCGAAGTGTGAGGAGGCTCCAAGGGAATTAAGATTGAAGGACACAATATTTTTTTCGCATCAGATCTGATGTTAATCTTTCGCGGAGCGACAACTTTTTGCAATCTTCCTAAAAAATTGTACGTTTTCTGGGAAATTTTTAGGAAGAGAAATCTGAGTTCAATGTGAGAAAATTTCTCAATACTATCGTTTTGGAAAGCGACCACTCTGGCGAAATATTGTTCTATATCAAGCTGTTTCAGAGAAAAAATTGATTAAAGTAGAAAGTTTGTCTAAGTTAACTGCGATTACATAATTGTTATTTTTCAGATTCGTGAAAAACTCGTTTTTTTCCTTATGTTGTTCGAAAGAAAAAGCGTTGCAAGAGCTCTTAGAGATTTCGCTGCTGAAGGCTGCCACGCTAGTGACGACTGTTGGAAAATGAAGCTCTTCAAAAACAAGACCGGAGTAAAATTACGTTAAAAACAAAAAAATCACAGATATTTTTAGACCAAGTACGCTCGCGTAGTCGTATTTTTACGAAGTGAAACATTTAAACATTTCTTCAGAATTTTCTAACAAAAATTCCAAAAAAATTTATCGATTTTGTTGACTACAAATGAATAATTTTTAATTATTGAGGAAGTGTACACTTCCCATTTTTGTGGAGTCTGCTGAAGACATTCTATCAACTGTAGGTAGGACCAGAACCAAATCATTTATTACGATTACAATAGATTGAGCTATGTTGTTACTTTATATGTTAATTCATTGTTATTTGTTTTATGGAATCCCAATAGTTATAATGCTTAGCCACTTACAGAATAGGAAAACAAATTATTTCTCAATTGTTTCGCTCGAATAGGCAAGAAATTGTGTTGTTTTTGATAAAAAAAATTTCTATAAAAGACGTTCGTCTCATGGGATAGAATATTTTCAAAATCTTACATAGGATGGGGTATTTCTCGAAATATTTTTTATTCCATGACATGGGATAATTCTGAAAATGTTGCGTCACATCTCATCCTATGGAACATTTTTCAAAAGAGTTACATCTCATGGGATCGATGAAATGAAATTGTCTCATTCTACCATGAAGTCCTACTAGCAAGTATATTTGATACACGAAGAATTCGTAATAGATGCAAAATATCCGACAGATATTTATTTGATAAACGATGTTGGGTTTTGAGAATTATAAGTACAATAGAAATACCCATAATTTACATTCAACTACGTTTTTTCCTCAGAAGGCTTCTCAACTTCATGTCTAGGATCACAAAAAAAATCTAGTTTCTGATAGATAATACACATGAGGTTTCTTACATGGTATTGTCAAGAATTGACCTTCACGATACTATTAAAAAAAATATCGAAATTTGATTCTGGTTGTTGCTAGTCGATCATATATCAATATTAGAAGTTAAGTCGATTGTTAAAACTTCTGCTGTATTTGTATCAACTTCATCATTCAAGTTTTTTTCATTAAGTTTCTCAATTATGTTCCTAATAACGCGTACATTAAATAAGATATTCCACCAAATAGTATATATAATCTCACCAAAGGCAATCTTACTATCCAAATACATCTCTTTGCGACTATCTATGAAAGAAATTTATTTATTTGAACGATTTTCGATTCTTGCTTATTCACAATTAGCAAATTGCACAGTATCTCCAGTACATACATAAGAAAGTTGCAGCTATAAAGTTT